TCTGTCATGTTGTGTGCAGATCATCGTCTCTTTAATGATTTTCAACTGCTTCCATCAGGTCGTTGTTATAAGTGCCTGCAGTGAAGACAAAGAGACATAGACTGTCTTTGGCACCTGCTGCTATTATCATGGTTAATAACACTAAACCACAAGTGTTGCTGCCATTGCACACGGCACCTTTTTAATGATAAAATGTAGGTTGTTTTCTCGGGGCTTATATTCTTTTTTGTGTGTATGTGATGTGTTTGTTTGTTTGTGTTTTTTTACATTTCTGTATGGACATACTGCAAATCTATTTCCCGTTAGAGACAATAAAGTTACCGTTGACCACTGTCAGTAGGGTGGTGAGCACGCCCTGCAGTGTCAGATTTGTTAAAAACAAAACAATTCAACTCATTGACTCTGTCCTCACCGCCCCCACCTCTGTGGTGTTGGATGGCATGGCTGTCTTCATGCAGCTCCACACCTCTCGTGCTGTAGTTGTCCTTAGCCGCTCTGATCTTGCCCTTTTATAATGCCGGATGCATCCATGATTCGATGAAACACATCAAGCTACACTCTCGATATTCCCTCTGACACCATGCTAGCGCTGTTAGCTCCTCCATCTTTCTTGTTAGCAACCGAATGTTTTCTTTTATATTAGATGGGAGACACAGTTTGTACCTCCTTCTTTCTTTAAACCTCCCCTGTCTCGTCGTCTCCCTCTACATCCACGCTGTGCTTCTCCAGATTTCATCTGGTAGGTCCGTGAGACTGGCCGACAAGCTGGCGGACATCAGGCAATCAGCTGACCTCTGGAGTAAACAGTGCGTGTGGTGTGTAGCTCCTGAGCCGCCATCCCAAGTAACAGCTCTGTGGCAACAAGGAGAACCAAAACTCTCTCGATCCACATGTTTGAAAAGAAAGAATTATTGTTTTTGCAAAATGTATAAAATTTCTTGTTGCTTGTGTTCATTTCATCATAACATGAAATCCTTATTTTCATATAGTGGCTGTTTTGCACGGCTGATTTTCCATCAGGAAAGTGTAATCACATTTTATATGTGATCAAGCATTTTCCAAATCATTTTTACCCTCTATGAAGCTGAATGAAAAAAGATTAACATGCTGTATAAGTCTAATTATATCTGTGAAGGTTCTCAGTCATCCAGGTCATCGTAGTCAAAGGAGACGCAGACGCTTTTCTTTGCAAGCTCCTTTGACCAAGTCTAATTATAATTAGAGTGGTTCATCTTATTCACTAATCTACGGAGCCCCGCAGGGGACATGGGAGAAAAAAAAATTGGGGAGAAAAAAAAAATTAGGGAGAAAAAAAAAATTAAGACGGACTTTTGCGAGATCTCGCAAAACTCCAACAATGGCGGCAGCTACTTAGTTGTAATATTACTCTTTCTGGGTCACAAAATACACTTTTAAGATATTTTGAGGCGTGAATGTAGTTGTGTAAACGTCAGATACCTGCTCGGTTTACAAGACATCACATATTTGCAAAAGTGCTCCGACGTTTTTGGAGATCTGACACCCACTAGCTCGAAGCTAACGGGAGGTCGAGACCTACTACAGCCGAGAGGAACACCGCTTTCCCGGCACATCGTGCCTCGACCTCCCGCTCGGCTTCGAGCTGGCGGCCTCCGAAGAATGCGGCTAAAACTTTTGCGAGATCTCGCAAAAGTCCGTCTTAATTTTTTTTTTTCTCCCATGTCCCCTGCGGGGCTCCGTACTAATCTCATCTTATACAATAAACTGTCAAAGTTTATCCTCACATAGATGTTTTTAAGCTGCGGTTTGCTTTCTGATATAGCAACTGTGGCTCTTTGTCACAGTGTCATAGCAACCAGGTTACACAGCAGCGATACCTCATCCACACGATGCTGGGTAACAAAGTTCACCCTGCTGTGTTCAACAGAGGGATGTGTAAAACTATTTAGTAATCACTGGTTGTTTATGTGTTTTGTTTTCTTTTTCCTGCAAATACAATAAATTATTTAATCACAATCAAACTGATTTACACTTTTTTCTCTTTTAATTACAGCTCAAAACAACACAAGTGAGTACCATTATACTTTATCATGTTATTGAATCTCTATAGTCGTTCACTTCTCGTAGTCATCATGACAAATATTTAGTAATCACTCATTGTTTGTGTTTTTGTTTGTTTGTGTTTTCCTGCATACACAGTGAATGTTTTCATGACCAAAACACTAATTCTGACATTCTTGTCTCTTGTAATTCCAGATGACAACAAACGTGAGTTCCAATATATTTATGATGTTATTCAGTTTATAACATTTACTTCTTATTATGTTGTTTTCAGACTTGTTTAATTCCAGTTGTCCCCCTGCTGTGCTTCCTGATGTAGCATGCATCTCCCTCAGCCTCATGTGTAAATGTACACAGTCCTCAAACACTTACTATGAAATGACAGACATGTGTCTTCTTACTTAAACTGATGAACAGAAGCTTCGATCTGGGTCATCTGTGTCAGACAGAATTTAAACGCAAACACCAAAAACAAAAAACAGTTATGTTTTTGCAAAATGTGTAAAATGTATTGTTCTTTGTCTTCATTTAATCATAGGTTTACTGTGAAAAAGATGAAATCCTTGTTTTCATATAGCAGCTGTTTTGCACAGATAATTTTCCATGAATGGGTAATCACATATACAGTGGGGTAAAAAAGTATTTAGTCAGCCACCGATTGTGCAAGTTCCCCCACCTAAAATGATGACAGAGGTCAGTAATTTGCACCAGAGGTACACTTCAACTGTGAGAGACAGAATGTGAAAAAAAAATCCATGAATCCACATGGTAGGATTTGTAAAGAATTTATTCGTAAATCAGGGTGGAAAATAAGTATTTGGTCAATAACAAAAATACAACTCAATACTTTGTAACATAACCTTTGTTGGCAATAACAGAGGTCAAACGTTTACTATAGGTCTTTACCAGGTTTGCACACACAGTAGCTGGTATTTTGGCCCATTTCTCCATGCAGATCTTCTCGAGAGCAGTGATGTTTTGGGGCTGTCGCCGAGCAACACGGACTTTCAACTCCCGCCACAGATTTTCTATGGGGTTGAGGTCTGGAGACTGGCTAGGCCACTCCAGGACTTTCAAATGCTTCTTACGAAGCCACTCCTTTGTTGCCCGGGCGGTGTGTTTTGGATCATTGTCATGTTGGAAGACCCAGCCTCGTTTCATCTTCAAAGTTCTCACTGATGGAAGGTTTTGGCTCAAAATCTCACGATACATGGCCCCATTCATTCTGTCCTTAACACGGATCAGTCGTCCTGTCCCCTTGGCAGAAAAACAGCCCCATAGCATGATGTTTCCACCCCCATGCTTCACAGTAGGTATGGTGTTCTTGGGATGCAACTCAGTATTCTTCTTCCTCCAAACACGACGAGTTGAGTTTATACCAAAAAGTTCTACTTTGGTTTCATCTGACCACATGACATTCTCCCAATCCTCTGCTGTATCATCCATGTGCTCTCTGGCAAACTTCAGACGGGCCTGGACATGCACTGGCTTCAGCAGCGGAACACGTCTGGCACTGCGGGATTTGATTCCCTGCCGTTGTAGTGTGTTACTGATGGTGACCTTTGTTACTTTGGTCCCAGCTCTCTGCAGGTCATTCACCAGGTCCCCCCGTGTGGTTCTGGGATCTTTGCTCACCGTTCTCATGATCATTTTGACCCCACGGGATGAGATCTTGCGTGGAGCCCCAGATCGAGGGAGATTATCAGTGGTCTTGTATGTCTTCCATTTTCTGATGATTGCTCCCACAGTTGATTTTTTCACACCAAGGTGCTTGCCTATTGTAGATTCACTCTTCCCAGTCTGGTGCAGGTCTACAATACTTTTCCTGGTGTCCTTCGAAAGCTCTTTGGTCTTGGCCATGGCGGAGTTTGGAGTCTGACTGTTTGAGGCTGTGGACAGGTGTCTTTTATACAGATGATGAGTTCAAACAGGTGCCATTCATACAGGTAACGAGTGGGGGACAGAAAAGCTTCTTAGAGAAGACGTTACAGGTCTGTGAGAGCCAGAGATTTTCCTTGTTTGAGGTGACCAAATACTTATTTTCCACCCTGATTTACGAATAAATTCTTTACAAATCCTACCATGTGGATTCATGGATTTTTTTTCCACATTCTGTCTCTCACAGTTGAAGTGTACCTCTGGTGCAAATTACTGACCTCTGTCATCATTTTAAGTGGGGGAACTTGCACAATCGGTGGCTGACTAAATACTTTTTTGCCCCACTGTATGTGATGACGTATTTTCCAAATCATTTTTACCCTCTGTGAAGCTGAATGAAAGCAAATTAACATGCTGTATACCAGCGGTCTCCAGTCGCTCTGTGGTCCGGGTCGTTTGGTACCGGGCTGCGTGATTTGAGGCTCTTGGGCAGGCTCTGTTTGCTCATATTATAATGAACTATATTTATGTGTAATAATTCATAGCTTTGCACATAATGTATCTGTTCCATACTTTCTTCCATAAGTCCCTGTACGTTAAATTTGACTTTAGATTCCTTGTAATTTAATTTAGATGCATTTGAGTTCAAGTTCAGTGAGTCTGGACAAATCAGAGCAGCAGCTCTCTGTTGTTAGGATTTAGATCCAATTTGCATGAAAGTAACATGTAACATGAAGTCACTGATTATCCAACACAACAGTTAGTCTTTTATTGTCTATAAAAACTTATCATTGATCCATCTTACTCTTATCCTTAGATCATTTTGTTTGTGTTTTGTAAACAATAATTAGTATTAATAGGACTATATTTAATTTGCTAGCATAGGAAATGGGATAGCAGTGACAAGTAGCACAGCATCTTTCTAACAACATGAAACACGACTGTTAGAGTGAAAATGTTACAGTGAGAACATTTTACATTTGCTACAGTTACAGCAAACATCTTTACGTCATGCTGATTTCTTTTTCTTGGAATGAAAATTGTTTCAGCCTCCTCACCTCCACGCACGGCTACAAATGCTACAGTAGTTAGTCCATCAGTGAATTCAACTGCCATGTCTGGTAATGTATTCAGAGTTTATAGTTTCATGGATTATTGGCACAGCTGTGTGATAAAATCCTACATTTGTAGTTTAGCATCGTGTCAGGTACAACCAGTCTGCTAGCTGTTAGGTATTTCTGCCTGAAGTTGACCTCCAGCCTGCTCTCACACAGCAACCAGAGCTCCTCCTGCAAGCACCTCAAATGAGACCTCACTCACACCCACTCCACCCAGCAACTCATCTGACTCTCAGGCCTCACCTACAGGCACCACAGTGACAGCTACCACTGAAGGTTGGCCGTTTCTTTATTATACAGGCCTGTGATGACATTGATGTGAATATAAGCAAAGAACACGGCGCTGCTGAGTTACAAGTACCTGTAAGGTGCTCTGAGCTGTTGTACATTCATGCTGCATAATCACAAACTAATAATTTTGTTCTTTTCTGATCTCATTTGAATGCATCGTTTCAGCCACCGAGACGACTCCTGAGCCTCCAAAGTGTGAGTGTCAGTTTAAAGATAATATGTCGTCTGCTTTCAAACACTAGTGATGCTGTATCGTTTAGGTTTAGGTTTTATCTGATACCAGTACCAAACCGGTACTTTTGAAACGGTGCTCAAACCGGTGCTTAAAGAATAGAGAACACAAACTGGTCCAAAAACCTCTCATGTTCAGCTGTTTTTTTGTAAAAAGATAACAATGTTAGCCTTTTCTGCAGCTATGGGGCATATATGGTATCACTCTTGGCTGGAAGCAGTGCTTAAACAATGGAAAAAACACAAACTTTGTCCAAAAACCTCTCATGTTTAGCTGTTTTCCACTTTTTCTTTGGTCATTTTAGCCTTTTTGGCCAGGGTGAAGGGAGCATCTGGCATCAAACAAGAAGACAGCCGCATGTAGCTATGATGATGTTTGCTAGTTCACCTTACATGCATTAATGTAATAACGTGGTTAGCCTACTCAACGTAAATTACACACGAACAACATGAAGCTACTCACGCAGAGAAGAACGGCTGCTGCTGCATCATCATCCTCATCATTTCTGCTACACTGGCAGGGCTAGGGGCCAGGACTCTCCTCTTCGGGTTTTTGGGGGATGTTGCTAACTCCGGGTCCGATAACAGGCATCACACCCGCAGTAGATGTGCTCGGTGTGAGGTCTCGCAGCAAGCTATCAAATACGCCACATTTCTCGGCTTTTAAAAAAACGCTATGCGTCGCCAGGTGTTTCACCGGATTCGAGGTGTTACCTCCTTTGACAGTATCACAGTATCAGCTTAAAGCACTTGTTGCTGCTGAGTTTGCATCTTTTGCTGTGAAGTACAGCCAGACTTTGACCGCTTCGCCTTGGGCATTTTTAATCTGTAGCTCTGCTCTAAAAGAACGTACGTACCTGGCCCCGCCTACTACGCTTGCAAAGGTAAAATGATTGGCTAGAATCCAAAGTGTGTGACATCTCAGGAAAAAAAAAAGCACCGAAATGTGCGCTGCTTTTCGGTCTGGTTACTACCGTTTATGTCAGATACCGGTACCCATCCCTACCTCCAGCCACTCCGCCCTCCACCACAGTGGCAGCTACGACCAAAGGTTGGACGTTTCTGTTTTTATCGTACAGGACTGTGATAAGATTGTTGAATTCACATATAGTGTACAGTGTCACAACCCGGCTCATAGGAAGTGACAAGCAAGTGGGAGACCACACACAGGTTTTTAAAGGCTGTAAGACATATTTAATGAAAATAAGGTAAAGCAACTTAAACACAATTTAAAAACCATAACAGCCATAACTGAAACTTCCAAATGAACAAGACGGGTGCCAGACAGAGAGCGCAAGAGCGTCAGCTGGTTCAGTCAAGGTGTCTTTATATACACTGGGCCTTCTCAGGTGTGCTGCATCTATAATTGGGTCAGCTCCACCTACCTGCAAGAAACAGGTAACAGAAAAAGCAGAGATCACCAACACCTCTGAGGTACCAGCAGCTGTAAGGTGCTCTGAGGTGTTTCTGGTACTTTCATTGCATAATTATAATCATATACTAATGATTTGTTTTCTTCTTTTCTGATCTCATTGAAATGTGTCCTCTCAGCCTCTCCACAGTGTGAGTATCAGTTTAAAAGATCAGTTTTATTGAATGTTTTCAAACACTGTTGTTGCTGCTCAGCATTTCTCTCTAAATTTACTCTGAATCACAATGAAAGTATTTTTACACTGATTATAGAAAATGTATTTTCATCTTCACCATGATGTTGATCACGGTCAACATCAGAATGAAGAAACTATCTGAGATAAAAAGTGTAACTGACTGATTCTTACTGACAAACATTTTGCAGGTTCTTACAATGTCACAAACAACAACACGTCTGGCTTGCAGATTGAAATAAACCCCCGTGGTAACTACACACTGACTGTTTCTGAAGAAGGCCGACCACAGACTGGAAAGATAATCCAAGCTGATCAGTTGAATCAAATCCCAGTGGGGAAAACTGGACACCTGAAGCCGTGCACTGATTACAGTCTTAATGTTTCATTTACTGAACTTTCATTAATGATACTGGAAAAGAAATATTCTGTCGCTCTACGGAAAAAACATTTAGAACAGATCCAATGAGTGAGTTCAATTAATTCATATATTTGTGTTTTACATCCATCTTCTTTTAACTTAACAAATGAATCTTTTATAAACTGACACATTTGTGCATCACTTGTTTAATTCAGGTGAAAGAGACGTTAATGAAACCAGCTGCATCCCCGGATATGTTTGTTATGGAAGTGACTGGGACATCAGCTCTTCAATATCAGCACCAAATAACCGTTCAGTTGTACGATGTAGAAATGATGAGAAGACTTTCTGTGTCAGACCTGCTAACGAGGACATTTGCTCAGATTTGACTGTAACCTTTACTCCAGGAGAGTGCAGAGGCTCTTCCTTTAGCTTCACCAAAAGCATCAGTGTTGGTACGTACGAACGAGTCCACGTCTGCTCTGAGATTCAAACATTTACACCTCATTTAATCATGTTTGTCTTCATTCATTTTTTCCACAGATTTCTTAAATTCCAGTGAAATACAGCAGATTAAACCCACTGGACTTCCTGCAGAAATTACCACAACGTTACCTGATTTACCAAAGTGTAAAAACCTCTCAGTTAGTTACACCTGTTCAGGTAAAAGGAAACTTTACGAGTTAGAGACACGAGCTCTGTGCTCTCTGTGAATCTGTTCAGATTTATTTCTTTGAATGTGTTCACGTTTGAATCTAAACCCAAAGGATGAATGTTCACACACTGAGGAGCAACAATGACGTCATCTTTGTGTCTCCTCAGAAAATAACAAAGCTGATGTGAAACTGTCTGAGTTGGAGCCGTTCACAGACTACAGCTGTACTGGTCTGATCTTACAGAACAGCATCAGCATAAATAAGACGACTCCATCTGTCCACATCAGGGTTGATTGTGGTGAGTTTATATTTCCTTTAGCTCATCAAAATAAAAGCTTTTATTCTCACACAGTTTGAAGCAAAGGAAACGCTGTTCACTGTTACTGATGTTTACTTTGTTCCAACAGATCTTACAATAGCCAACATAAAGAAGGATTTAACCAGTACTTCCATTGAGCTCAGCTGGAAAACAACCAGTAAGAACTGTCAACAGGTCCTTCCCCTCCTTCATGAGCTTTCTTATGACTGCAGTTGTGATGGTCAGACAGGTAAAGGTGAGTGAGACGGCTTCTCCTCTTATGTGTTTATGTTCATGATGCTTTGACTGCAGGTGAAAAACCAAACCTCTGACTGGGTGTGAATAAATACACAGTTATTAAAATAAATAGCAAATATAAAACAGAATAAACGCTGAAACATCAGAGTCGAGTTCACTTTTTCACACAGAAGAAATGATGAGAAGCTTTGAGCTGTTTGAAGGTAACATCTGATGTTTGAAATGTAATTGTCTTTATAAAAAGCAACAAACAGTTTGTCAGTCTGTTGCTTTTCTGACATGTACGTAGTTTCTATGAGAAGCTTGTAGCATCAGTGCTTCATGTCAGCAGGAACAGACTGTAAGTGAAACAGGTTTGTGCCAGTTTATGGATCAGCTGACAGAACTACCAGCTGATGTGTTTGTGAAACTTTAACCTGACATTTGTCATTTACAGTTTCTTAACATGATGATGTTGATTTAAATCTATAACACTTCACATGGTTCATGGAAATTATGTTACAGCCACAAGTCCTGATGGAAGAACGTGTGTTATTACTGGATTAAATCCATTTACTGGTTATACCTGTCGAGTCCGAGCCAAATACAACGAGATTCAAGTTTCCACTGGGGGTGACGTTAAACTGCAAACTAAGGTTGGAAGTAAGTAATCAAACTTTTTATTACATAATGTTAGAATTTATTTCTCACTGGATATTTGAGCAGTGAAGATAAACAGGAAGGAAACGCAGCAAAGGGTCGCAGGTCTGTCAGTTTTTTACTTTAAATATGGCTTCCTTTAAATTTCTCTTACAGCACCTGCTGCAGTCACTGAGCTGAAATTACACGTTCACGAACATAATACGATCAAAGTGAGCTGGCACAGACCCTCTACATTCAACGGACCTGAGGGAAAATATATAATACGTCTAAATACAGCTGATGATAAGGAAGTGACAAAGAAGGAGAAGCAGAGTTGTACACGATGTGAAGTCGAATTCAAAGATCTGAGCTACTCTACGAGCTACAAAGTGAAGGTTTGTTAAATCCAACATTTTTGGTTTAATAAAGAAGATATTATGCTTATAAATATTATTTTAGACTCCTGAATGTTGTAATTCACAGTGAACTGACATTCTGTCTTTAAAGGTGACGGCTCACAACGGACACTATGAGAGCATCCCTCAAATAAGTGAAATCAGCACTTTGTGTACGTCCTGTTTTCATTAATGATACAGTTTACTGACATAAATGCTTCGTCTCATTTTAAGCACACATGTTTCTACAAATGTTGTCTTTCACGTAAATGTAATTTTTAATATTATTTCACAGACAACAACAAAGCTGTTATTGGGTTTCGTGTCTTCCTCTTCATCGTCATTGTTCTGGCTTTTCTTTTTATCACCTACAAGTTCTACATTCAGAAGTTCAGAACGTCCACAAAGTAAAGTCCACGAGTGCTTTTTCTACACGTCTGACTTTCACTTTGTTCCACTTTATTTTTCATTTCTAGTAAAGGCTAATGTCATCATTAATTTATGTTTACTGTAGAGCAGAGGCACAGTGATGCATCTATTATAAACATAATCCTTATCTTTCCTCCACAGTGACGTGAATGACGACATGGAACTTGAAGCAAGTGAGTAAAGCAAACATTTAGTGGCTGTTACCATTCAGTTAGATTTTATTCACAAAGTGCTGAGAACAGTTACCTCCAGGACCTTTAATGTGAGGAGAGGACGACAGGACAAAGACACACTGTGGAAGAGAGCCAGAGGTTAATAATGACTAATGATTACATGCAGAGTGATATTTAGTGAGTGAAGAAGAAACACTCAGTATAAACATATTGCAGCATAACTAAGGGAGGATTCAGGGTCACCTGGTCCAGCCCTAACTATATGCTTTAGCAAAAAGGAAAGTTTGAAGCCTAATCTTGAAAGTAGAGATAGTGTCTGTCTCCTGAATCCAAACTGGAAGCTGGTTCCACAGAAGAGGGGCCTGAAAACTGAAGGCTCTGCCTCCCATTCTACTTTTAAATACTCTAGGAACAACAAGTAAAGGGAAAACAGCACTGTGAGGCCTTTAAGGTAAAATGGGGCCTGGTTGTTCCTTACACCTTATAAGAAGGATTTTAAATTTAATTGTGGATTTCACAGGGAGCCGATGAAAGAAGCCAATTCGGGGGAGAAATGCTCTCTCTTTCAAATCCCTGTCAGTATTTTGGATCAACCAACGGCTTTTATGAGTTTTTAAGGCATCCTGATAATAATGAATTACACGGGTATTTACAAGGACTGAGATGAATAAAAATCTGAATAATTATTACAATAAAAACACTGAACACAATTGACCCACAGCCTGTAGGTGTGAGTGCGTTAACGCCTTAATGCACACTCACATCTCGGGTCATTTGACTTCAGTAAGTCACATGATCGGTGGGCAAGGTCTCACAATGGGTTCACCTGAAACCTTGGGCGATGATGAGCCACACCCATTTTCACACCTTGGCTCATGTGATTGGGCAGATGATCAATAGTGGGTCAACGACCCTCTTAAGGACACTTCCAACAGAGCTTAAATCTGGGAGTCACCACCAGTTGCTCTTAGAGCTAAAGAAGCTTCTCAGCTGAGGGTGAGATGTTATCAAGACTCTTAAAGAGGTTTAGTCGCCTTTCTTTCCAAGCGCCTCAGATTATTGTGCTATAACAGCGTTCGCAGCCCTTTATTGTTATTTCCTGTTTCTTGTCATAGTTTATGAGAACCGACAACCTCCTGGATGGCGTCATAAAGAAGCTCACTGATCAAAAAAGACATTATGGAGCAGCACAGTCAGTCACCATTAACTCTTTATTGTTTGGTATGTTTTTTGTTTCTATTCCAGCAGTAAAAGAAAAAAAGTATTTTGCTGCATTAACTTAAGAGCTCCAATTTAATCTTACTGTTCATTTTCCTAATTGTTCACATAGCATGGCACTCTGAAAAATATATTTAAAAAATTAAAAACACAAATTAGCAGCTGTAACGTTCCCAGTTACAGCTGATCGATACGTATCCATCAGCAGGTGAATTGATGCTTTTAGTTTTTGTTCATGTGTCTTTCACACATTTGTATGCCTGCAGAAAATTTGATTTAAATACTGTTAAATGTATCAAGAATATTAACAAATTGACCAAAAAATAAATAAAAGAAAAGTGTGGTTTACATAGTAGCAGGTCTCCTGTTGCCAGCAGATCAGTGGAAATGAAGCTCAAAGATTTTGCATGTGAAAATTAGCAAGCCTCTTCTTTTTTTAGCCAATACAAAAATTATTATTCTTACATTTAAAACAAACATCTGTTTAAAAAACAGGACATGGCTGTGCATAATTTAATGTTATCATCTCCACATGTTTAGATTTACTGAAGTCCCACACCCAGCTAACTAATCCACAGTCTGGATCCACAGTTATATGTGGAGTAATAATAATAATGGATTTATACAGCGCTTTTCAAGGCACCCAAAGCGCTTTATAATGCCACTATTCATTCACACACTGGTGGAGGCAGCTACAGTTGTAGCCACAGCTGCCCTGGGGCAGACTGACAGAAGCCAGGCTGCCATATCGCGCCATCGGCCCCTCACCAGTAGGCAAGTAGGGTAAAGTGTCTTGCCCAAGGACACAACGACCAGGACAGAGAGCCCAGGGATCGAACCGGCAACCTTCCGGTTACAGATGCGATTCCCAACCCCCTGAGCCACGGTCGCCCGGAGTTTGCATGTTCTCCACTGTGGCTTCTCTGTGGGTTCCTGCTAACAACATGCAGTGAGTCGGGTTGATGATTGTCTCTCTCTGTTGTGTTATGACAAACTATTCTCCCCTACATAACTTTATAAGATAAAAGCATAGGTATCACACAGCACTGCTAATTGGGTCCCTCCATCGATTTTCTTACTATGTGAGGAAGAGACAGAGGAAGGTGGAATACCTTCCTCTGTCTCTTCCTCACTTCCCCACAGCTGGTGCTAGCAGCAGTGACTGTGAGGCCTGGTTACTAGGTGTTGCTTTTGTTGCTGTTCACAGTGCTGCAGCCCGGCAGTTATGTCGGTTAACTTGGCTCATTATTAGTTTCTTTTTATTGTTTTCTTTCAGCTTTCCGGCTCCACCTTTTCACTCCTTCTTCCACAATAAAGTTTTTCTACAAGCTGCGTGAGCAAAGGCAGGGGAGGGGCCAGCGGCGTTAAGAGATTTGATTGGGCAATCCAGTCACTCAAAAGTGAGTCGGACGACCAGGAAAACAGCCAGTATGCCAGATTACTGGTCCAGCCCTGATCCTACCTCATTCTGCAAAGATGTTAATGATCAGCTGTAAATGGTTTCCACAACAGTTACCTCTGATTTAGACAGATTAGGCAAGGCGAGTTTATTTGTATAGCACAATTCAACAACAAGGTGATTCAAAGTGCTTTACAGAGACATTAGAAACAAAAACAAATAAAAAGCATGTCACTGGTCACTTAGTCACTGGTTTGTCTGGTTCCAGGATTCCTCCTTATGACCCAATTTTGTTGTCACTATATAATAATATATTTAAAGATATACAAATAAATACATTCAAAATATATCCATCTTGTACATAGTTGTTACGTTTCATCCAATCTGGTGATCTCTGTTTGCCACTGCCTTCCCTGCTCTGTTCCACTTGTCAGCCAATCAGCTTTTAGCATATGCACAGTTGATCTATGCGCTTTGGCATGGGCGGGTTGAAAACCTCTCTCTGTAAATGTAATTAATTAACCTGCTACGCATATAGCATATGATATGAATACCACTGGACTTTCAAAATAAAGAAAGTGATTTGTAGAGTGAAAAGCAAAATTTACTCTTTTGAACTCTGACAAATTAAAAAAAAAAAAGACTAGTTTGTTTGTTTTTTAAAGTACAAGTTTACTGGTCAGAGCTAAAGTCCAACACAAAACCTTTTGCTTTGTCTTAATTGGAGGCTAAAAGCTGATTATCTGAGCACCGAAGATTTGTTTATAAACCTCAAACCTCAAGGTTAAAGAGTTTTAGAGGGAAGAAAAATTATTAGAACCACAACGCAGAGTGAATTTCCTTTTATTAAGTGGTTTTCTTTTTTTAAACACTCATATTAAGAGGAAATGCAGCTTCTGTTGCGACGTGTGAACATCTTTCTGTGCATGCCTGTGCAGTTTAACCTCTCCACTAGTGCAGACCTGTGCAGTCTTGCAGCGCTGCTCTTCTGGGCACAAATCCTTGTTTCTGCGAGCTGTGAGTACATTTATTATTTCTTTCACGCTCATATCAGATCTGATGCTGAATGGTGCAGTAATGAAAGAGATGACTATGATAACATTTTAAGGTGTTTGTCTGCATATTTAGATTTATGGTATGTAATGAGTACATTTATATTTTATTTCTTTAAGTTTTCTTTAAGTTGTTGCAAATTCATTATTTTAATAAAATGCAATCATTTGAAACAAAGTGATGTTTGAATGTTTGAAGGTAAAAATAAAAGACAACTTTTTTTAAACACCTAATTTATTTGTTTTAAAGTACGTAAATAAATTGACTCACTCACTTTCTGTATTCTGAGTTAGAGAACTTTTCTTCCTGCATAAAACTCAGATATGAACCACAAAAGCAGTGACTTTTACTCTCCTTTAATAAAACATCATAATAGTTCTTTTCTTAAATATTGTTCACGGTGAAAGTCGTGAAGGTGAAGTTAATTTCTCTTGTTCTGAGACATCTGATGACGCTGTCCTAGATTGAAAACAGAGTTATCGCACATTTCTGGCTCTGCTGCTTTTTAAATTTGCAGCTGTTGTTGCATTATTGAGTCGTTCGTCTCTGAGAGGATTTTAGCCGCGGGTGGCGGGCTTTAAGGTTAAAGCTTTAAATTCAGTCACCTTAGCCTGTGTTTGATGACACTGTGGTGCAGAGAGGTGTACATTAGTTCCTGTATCGCCTACCCAACAAATCGCTTCTTATCTCCCACGTAGTTGTCTGTGGTTTCTCTCAGTCTTCTTCAGCTCATCACATTTTTAGTTTTTACAATTTTTATACCTTATAAGCACAAAAGCGCATCTTTTTAATTTGAATCGTTTCATTTTGTCTTGTGAATTCCTGCTTTATGTCCTTTTTTGTTGTTGTGATCTTCTGTTTGTTAAAAGTTTAGTGCTGACCACAGAAACAGGCTTACTGTGACAGTATCATCATTTGTGGAAAACCTCTGTGTGCAAATGTGGTTAAAATAAATAATGCAATTAATTATGATTTTTTTGTGTTCAGAGTAGAAAACAAATATTGAATGGCTGAGTTGAATGAGTATACCAGTGTAATTTTAGGCACTACATGGTTGCAAATAACATTTCTTAGTTGGTTAAGGACACTACAGGGGTCAGTCGCAAGGACCGACTCCATCAATTGCATCAAAGGATGTGAATGCTCTGTAACTGACTCCAACTTGTTCTGTTTCCTTTCATTGATTGTCTTTCTTTGTTGCAGCTAGAATTATTTTTACTAGATACATGTCCTCCTCCTGTTGCACCAGTTCCTGTATGTTTCCACGGTACATCACTTGGGGGTGTTTGGCAGTGCATAACCCAGAATATTATCCATGGTCATTTTAAGGTCTTCCCAATACTTTTTATTTTTATGCACTTCCAAAATACATGTGAGTGATCAGCTTCTGTTTCTCCACAGTCTCCAACATTTCTGTGGACTTGAGATCTGTTTACTTTTAATTTTGGGTGTGATGAAAAAACGCGTCACATTCTTCCAGCAAAATTCCCTCCAAATTCAAATTCAAATTTTTATTTGTCACGTACACAGTCATACACAGTACGATATGTAGTGAAATGCTTGGACAACTGCTCGTGACCTAAAGAAAACAAAAAAGGAAAAGGCTATGAATAAGATAGGAAATAAATATGAAAAATTAAAAAGGGTAAATTTAACTAGGAAGGAATAAAATATAAATTAAGGTTAAAAATGAAATAACTGTACAACACAAATTAGAATGAAGGGTAAATTTAACTGGGAAGGAATAAGATAAAATATATAAATTAAAGTTGAAAATAAAATAACTGTACAACAAAATACACAATATAGAACTATATAAGAATGTATGAAGAAATATAAATATAAATAAATATATACACAATAACAGCAGCTGTACAAGTATTAACCGGAAATGAAGAATATAGTGACCAGTGTTGTGCAAAAACAATGTCCAGAAAGTCCAGTGTGTGTGTAAGAACCATATGTGTGGGTCAGTACTGTGTGGTGGTGTGATTGAGAGACCGTATCGCCTGCGGGAAGAAGCTCCTCCTCAGTCTCTCTGTGTTGGTCTTCAGGGAGCGGAATCGCTTTCCTGACCTCAGCAGAGAGAACAGTCTGTTGTTGGGATGGCTGAGGTCCTTCACCATCTTCCTGGCCTTGGTCCAGCACCGCCTGCTGTAGATTGAGTGCAGGTCAGGGAGCTCGGAGCGGATGGTGCGCTCAGCTGACCGCACAACCCTCTGTAGAGCTCGTCTGTCCTGCATGGTGCTGTTCCCGAACCAGGTTAAGATGTTTCCCGTCAGGATGCTCTCTATGGTGCAGGAGTAAAAGTTCCTGAGCACCTTGGAGGGCAGTTGGAAGTCTCTCAAGCGTCTGAGGTGGTAGAGACGCTGTCGGGCCTTTTTCACCACGGTGTTGATGTGACAGGACCATGATATCATCGGTATCATCCGCTAGTTTCCCGATGAATCCCACAACCGCTTCCGTAAACACGTTGACGTCATCGTCGGAGCTGTTTCTGAACATGCCCCAGTCTGCGTCATCGAGTGCGTCCTGTAACGCGGCCACCGATTGATCCGTCCAGCGCGCGACCTTCCTCTGAACCGGAACTTCCTGTTTCAGCCTTTGTTTGTATTTTGGCATGAGGAAGATGGCGGCGTGATCAGATTTGCCAAACGGGGGGCGGGATTGTGCCTTGTAGCCGTCCTTGACCGTAGTGTAGCAGTGGTCCAGTGTCCTTTCACCTCTGGTGGGGCAGGAGATGTGTTGATAAAAGTTCGGCGCTGCGCGTTTGAGGTTGGCGCTATTAAAGTCCCCCGTCACAATAAGCGCAGCGTCCCGGTGTTGTGTCTGGTGCTGTGTGAGTGCCTCATGCAGCTCGCATAAGGCGGTGACCGTGTCCGCTTGTGGTGGAATATAAACGGCACTTACAATGACCGATGTAAATTCCCGAGGTAGATAAAAAGGACGACACATGATGGACAGTAGTTCCAGATTTGGTGTGCAGGAGCGTGTGAGAGGAACAACGTTCGCACTGTTGCACCAGTTGTTGTTCACCATTAAACACACACCGCCTCCCCTTGACTTCCCCGAGTCCCGTGTCCTGTCCATGTGGTGAACCGAGAAGAACCCGGCCGGCTGGATGGCGTGGTCCGGCACCGCTGGGTTCAGCCATGTCTCGGTGAAGCAGAGGAGATTGCAGTCCCGAATGTCTCTCTGGAACTTTATCCTGGCCCTGAGGTCGTCAAGCTTGTTCTCCAGTGACTGGACGTTGGCGAGCAGGATGCTAGGCAGAGGTGTGCGGTGTGCACGAGCTCTCAGCCTGTTCCTGACGCCGGCTCGCTTCCCTCTAGGCCGCCGCCGCTTCCCTTTGTTCTCCCTCGAGATCTCACTCGGCCAGCTCGGATCCGGAGTTAAAAACTTCGAATTGTGAGTACATTGTATACCAATAGAAACAAGAGTGTCACTGTTATACCTAATGTACCCAATGATGATTTTGCCGATTTAGAAACGCTGAAAACTAACTTAAAAAACAAAGACAAAGAAAAAGTGGTCGGAGCAGTCGTGACGGCAGCCGACCTCACCGGCGCCATCTTAAAAAAGGGCGAATTCGTTGTGCTGTGTTGTATTTCACAGATACTAACGCATCCCTTCTCTGTTATAGTTATGGTCAGTTCAGCTTCCCATTTCTTTTTAAGGTAAAATGTTGTATCCTGTGTATCTTCTTCTAATGATCTGTAGAAGGTGGAAATTGCTTTGAATCGTTTTTGTTCATAGCAGTTATTTACTAGTCCAATTACACCCAATGGTTTTCAAAACCAGTCGGTCTCTATTTGCTTTGCACAATAGTCCCTTACTTGCAAGTATCTAAAAAAAATCTCTATTTTCCAATTTGTATTTATTTTTTAGTTGTTGGAAACTCATTAATGTTCCATTTTACATTAAACTGCTGTAATGTTTCAATGTTTGGTCCAATTGTCCCGGCTTAAATTTTTTATCGTGTCTGAACCATCTCAGCAAAAATATTTGTTCTTTTAACTGAGGTTTTTCTCTTACTGTGTGCCATATGTCTAATGTGAATTCCACAATTTGATTCATTCTACTTTTATAAGAGGTCATTAGTTGTATGTCAAAGATAAAAATTAGAATTTATTTTCCCTCAATTTCTTTCTCAGTTTCCTTCCACCGTGCCTCATATTCTGGTCTACACCAACAAACAAGAGGTCTAAACTGAGCTGCGTAAAAGTTTTCCCAAAGCCATCCCTCCCTTACACTTCGGGAGTTGCAACGTTGTTAACCTTCTTCTTGGCTTCTTCCCATCCCATATAAACCTTGAGATCATTTTGTCCCATATTTCAAATTTACTTTGAGGTCTAGGACGTGGGAGTGATTGAAACATGTACAGCAATCTTGGGAGAACGTTTATCTTTATTATTTGGATTCTAGAGTAGAAATTTGTAGGTACTGTTGACCACCGTTCTAGGTCTTTTTTTATGTTACCCTCCACCTGGTTGTAGTTTGTCTCAAACATAGCGGATAATGATTCTGTCAAGGTTACGCCCAAGAATATTTCATGGTGTTCAAGTGCCACTTTAGTTTATATTCATCTCTAATCTTTTGAGAAGGTGTGTATTTGAATGATAGAATTTGTGTTTTGGATACATTCATTTTATAGCCTGATAAGTGTTCGAAGGTATGGAGTAGTTGCATCAGAATTGGAAAAGTTGATTTGGATGTTGCTGCACTGCTGTGGCTCGGCATGTGTAGCAAAAAGAATTGGTGACAGGACACAGCCCTGTTTTGTACCTCTATGTAGCTGAATTCTGTCCGTCAGGCTACCATTCACCTTGATTCTGGCTGTAGGTTGATCATTAAAACCAATTTTTTTCAATACTTCAAATCAACTAACACTATCAAATTACTTTTCTTGATCTAAACTTATTAACACAGTACTGATATTAGTCTTTTCGGCATTGTCGATGATGTGAAGTAGGGATGCACCGATACCGATAGTGGTATCGGTGCATCCCTAATGTGAAGGACTCCTTGTATTTCCTGTGCCTGACGTCCCTTAATGAATCCGGTTTGGTCCACTTCTATCAAGTCCGGTACAAAGGTTTCAAGTCTTTTACTAATAATCGAGGCGTACAGTTTGTAATCGTTATTAAGGAAGGAAATGGTCTATAGTTCTTGCAATACTCTTTATTCTTGCCTTCTTTAGGTAAAATTGTGATGATGGCTTCTCCCCATGATGGTGGGGCTATTCCCTGTTTCAGAGTCCAGTTAAAGCAGGATAAAAGATGTGGCTTGAGTTCTTCTTTAAACACTTTATCAAATTAAGACTGAAAGCCGTCACTCCCTGAAGCTTTGTTAGTTTTCTGCTTGCCAATGGCTGCTTCTAATTCCTTATCAGTAATTTGTGAGATCAATAATTTGTTTTGATTGTCCCCTACAGAGGGCAGGTCGAGTGGATCAAGGAAATTTCTGATTGTTTCATGGTCTGCTGCAACCGGTTATGAGTACAGTCGCATATTTTTTAAACTCATTTTCTATCTCATTGGGCATATAATGTAGTTTGTTACTGTCCAGGTTTCTAACTTTATTAACAGTCATCGATGCCTGCTTTTTACGTAGTCTTCTTGCTAGGATTTTGATTGCTTTCGGCCCTGATTCATAATAGGTTTGCTGTGTAAACCTTGCCTTTTTTCTGCTTCTTTTAATAATTCATCAATTTGATTTCTAATACCTGATATTTCTTCTAAAATTAGTGAGTTTTTAGATTTTTTGTGCTCCTTCTCAAGACATTTAAGTTTTTATATAAAGCCAATCGTGCCTTTTTTGTGCTGCTGTTAGAGCCATTAATTTTCCCCATAAAACTGCTTTTAATGCATACCAAAGTATGATTGGGCTCACATCTCCAGTATCATTGTCTTCATATACATTTTAATGTCCTCTTTGATTTTCCTAACATTTTCATCCCTATTTAGAATACCCAAATTAAGTCTCCATGCTGTACTTATTTTCCTATTGTTAAGGCTGAGGTCTAGACCAGGGCTGGACAAAACATCTGCCCGGGCATTTTGACTAGAGACCGGCCCCCCAGGTATTAAAGCCATAAAGCCTTTGAATGAACAGTGATGTACAGTCTTGTTGGTATATGTATGATTTCTATACATTTTACATCAGATAAAAACTGTGGTTGTAAAATTCAGATAATTATTTATTAAAAGCAAGAAATTTTAAATCAGAATAAGAAAGAAAAGTATTTCTTTGTGCCCCCCTCTCCCTGTTAATGCCCTACCTGCCCCCCTGGCAACACTTTGCTAGACCCGCCCCTGCACAGTTACCAGCTGTCAGCTACTTAGAAAAGGATCCTGGTGTTATTTGTCTCTCAGAAACAGTTCATAACTTCAACTCATTCATGTCACCTAAAAGGTAAACCTGTTTCTCCATCACCTGTTCAGCTCTGATGATCCAGTAAGGACATCTCCTGGTTTCATCTTCATGTTTCCCTCTCACCACATTGTTAGGATGCCTGGGTCGTCGACCCAGGATTTTTGAGTTTACGATATTATTTATACTGTCTAGTTTTTGGTTTCTTTGAGTTCTGTCTTATGGCTTAGGTCTGTCTTCTTTAGTTGCTCTGTCTCCCCTATCACCTGCATCCCCTTGTCTAGTTCGCGTCTATGTGTATCTTAAGTTCCTATATCCCCGTGTTCAGTCAGTGTTTTGTGTCTGCCCTGTTCCCACGTCTCTGTTCCCTTTGTAGTGCCTGCTTATGAGCCTGTGTCTTTGTTCAGTCTGTGTTATGCGTTTCCTGTTTTACTTTGAAGGTCTGTGTCTTTTCTCAGTGTGTTCAGTTTACGCTTCTTTGGTCTCGTCAGTCCTGATTTGTCCCAGCTGTGTTTCCCTCCTGTTACCCATTCCCTGATTGCTCCCTCTGTGTATTTAAGCCCAGTGTTTCTCTGTGTCCGTGTCGCGATCTACCGTTTTCCTAGCTGTGTGTTCTGTCATTCCTCCGGTGTAAGTTTATTTTGATTTTTCCAGTTATGTTATATTTGAGTTTAACATTAAAGTTGTTTTGAGTTCACATCTGTCTCCGGAGTCTGCACCTTGGGTCCTATTCCTGCCTGCACACAGCCTCACCTAACACACATATCCAAACCAACATCATGACCAGCAGCTTTACAGCTGTGGCTCCAGCAAACATCAGCTGATATTAGAAATTAATATTAAATAAATCCTAAAAACAGCTGATCAAGCTTAAACGTGCTGCTGTTGTTTAGTACGATATCAGGCGGTTTCCTCTTTCTGGCTCAAAGTGGGCGATAAACAAACAAGAGAGACGATCAGCTGATCATTGATCAGTTTCATGATTGACGTAGCAACAGGAGAGGGAGGGGAGAGAATGAGAGAAGAGGCAGCTGTGCAGCAAAGACTGAATAAATCCAGCTTTGTGTGTTTTCTATCCTAGCTGAAGTCCGGGACAAACTGTGTTCCTTCTCAGCTCAACACGAAACGCGCAATATTTTCTCTGAATGCGGAACGATTCCGTTTTTTAGGGGACGGTTGGCAACTTTACTAACTAACCTTATGAATAAAATAAAGTTCACCATCAGTAACATCATAGCACCCACCCAGCTGTATAGAAACTCCATCATGATAGCTAGCACGCAGTACGAGTTATTGTAACTGACTGTAAAAAGTTAGCAATACATCCTGAAAGGACCTCGAAGCTTTCTGAGGTTAAACGAGCGGTGGCCTGAGCTTTGTTTCAAAACCTTAAATGGAAGATGTTTCTGATCAAAGTTGAGTCAGAGTTTTATAATAAGACTGTAAAAACTGTGGTGACTGTAAAGCTACCAGATACTAACTTCCTCATGTTGCATTTATTATTGAACCTTCCTTCCTATTTTATCAGATGTGCAGATGTGAAAAACTTCCTGTTACAATGTTTGAGGTTAAAGCTAAGAGGAAATAACGTCTTTGTCATATTTGATTATCTTTCTTTGGTCTCCACACATTTGTGCCTCGACTGCTGAAGATGGCAGAGCTGTGCAGTCTCAGCACTCTGCTGTTCTGGGCTGGGATCATCGCTTCGGCCAGCTGTAAGTAAATTTACATTTGTTCTAAAATCAGGTCTGATGCAGACTGTAAGGAAACACATTTGGCATTTTAGTAGTTGCATTATTTTTTATTTGGCTGTTTTTTGTTTTTTTTTTAAATTCCCATTTGCAGTCAAACTAAAAATTGAATGTGAAATATTTTATCAGTTTTAATGTATTTGTTTATTATTTAAAAAAAACGTACTTTTAGAAAATTAAAGATGTGTAAGGCACATATTAAGTTAAGACATAAGATGCACATGTACGACAAATTTACCTGTAAGTATTTTAATGATATTAATTAAATTGTTTCAAAATGCAAAAACATAAAATAATAAAAATTTCTGTATGGATATTCAGGACGTTTGTTCTTTAATAAACTTTAGATCTCTGCTCATCAGTTTGTTTTTAATAGCAGATATTACTCATGCTTTTGGTTTCTTGTGACTTTTAGTTTGCATATAATTTTACTTACTGTGAAAACTCACCGTTTACCTCTAAGTAACAGGTTTGTTTGCTATTAAAAGAGGATTTAATAGCAGAAATGATATAAAACACATGATTAAATGAATGTGAAAATACAAAAGGACTTCATTGTTCATTTCCTTAGTAACACACAGTAATAATACATTAATTACATTTTTGCTACACATAATCAATGTCCTCACTGTTCCCGCACAGGACACACGAGATTTCTCTTATTTCTAATCTTTTAGTTTCCTTTAATAACATGTAAATTTTCAAGTACAATGTAAAACATTAAATTTAGTTAAATTAAATTTACTTGACTGATATATATTTTGTGCATACTGTATTTTCAAATGAAAGTAGGATTTATACAGATATACAGGCTCGGTCAAACAGGGGAGGTTTTTTTTTTATTTCTAGATATTTTTTTAAAGGATTTTTTTTAATTATTTCAAATAATAACATAAATGCATGGAGTCCTTTCCAACTAATAATTAATTAACAGTTAAATTAAAAAAATAGCTGCGTGCGACAGTCATGAGATATAACAGAAATTATTTTTAATCATGAAAAATCAAATAAATTTGCACACTGAGTTTGAGTTTAGACTAAAATCCAATGATTTCTTCCCTCAGACTGTGGTTTAGATCATTTTAGGCTCTCATAGGCAATCCAGAGAAATTATAGAATAAGATTTAAATTAGAGCAGCAGTTCTGTGGACTGTTAATAAGATTTAAATACATTTGCAAAGGTTACACTTATTTCCCACCAAAGTCAGATGATGGCAGGTTTCACTGCTGTCATCAGTGAGGGGAAAAAATGTTGAACCTGCTTTTGTCTCGAAAACAAGTTTCCTGAAAACATTTTAATCTTATCCTGGGTTTTTTTGTTTTTTGCATATACAATAAATGCTTTAATTAAACTGACTTTTTTTCTCTTGTAATTTCAGTTCAAGAAAATATAAGTCAGTGCCAATGTATTTTTTCGTGTTATTTAGTTTATCTCGTTTCATTGTCTTCATGCAACATCATTAATAATGCTTTTATATGTTTGTTTTTTCTGCATATAAAATGCTTTCATGACCAAAATATATTTATCTTTACATTTCATGTTAATTCCAGGTGGTCCTACCACCATTCACTCCTATGCAGTGTTGGGTAACTTACTTTAAATTAGTAACTTAGTTACATTACTAGTTACTTCCATCAAAAGTAACTCAGTTACTTCAAGTTACTCGTTACTTTCAAAGTAACTAGCTAGTAGGGAAAGTAACTTTGGTTTTACTCAGAATTCTCTTGTTAATGTGTTGCTTCCATAACTTTGCCAGTCTTCTAGCTTGCTTACTTGCCACAGTGCACTGTGCCACCTACCAATAGAAAGGAAAAGATAATGTGCATATTTCCACGAGAGAAATCCCACGCCTGGACCATTGTTGACTGCTGCCATGATTCTAGCCTACGTCACAGCGTCATGTGCGCCTTTTACATCCAACACAAAAACTGCAGTCGTGGTGCTTTCGATTGTACTCAGAACTCAGAAATTCTGCCTTCTGAATAGGAAGATGTAGGTAACACCAGACTGCAGATGAGCTGCATACAGGGCTGGACTGGGACAGAAAATCATGGGGATTTTGACTGACCGGCCGCCATTATACGAAAACTCATAAAGCCTTTGAATGAAAATAAACACTGTTCTGACAGTGATGTACACTGTTCTGATGGTATATATGCATCAACCTATCAATCGTTTGTTGTAAGATTCAGATAATTTATTAAAAGCGAGACATTTGAAATGAGAATAAGAAAGTATTTCTTTGTGCCCCCCTCTCCCTGTTAATGCCCTACCTGCCCCCCTGGCAACACTTTGCTAGACCCGCCCCTGCACAGTTACCAGCTGTCAGCTGCTTAGAAAAGGATCCTGGTGTTATTTGTCTCTCAGAAACAGTTCATAACTTCAACTCATTCATGTCACCTAAAAGGTAAACCTGTTTCTCCATCACAGCTCTGATGATTCAGTAAGGACGTCTCCTGGTTTCATCTTCATGTTTCCCTCTCACCACATAAATGGTAAATGGCCTGTATTTATATAGCGCTTTACTAGTCCCTAAGGACCCCAAAGCGCTTTACATATCCAGTCATCCACCCATTCACACACACATTCACACACTGGTGATGGCAGCTACATTGTAGCCACAGCCACCCTGGGGCGCACTGACAGAGGCGAGGCTGCCGGACACTGGCGCCACCGGGCCCTCTGACCACCACCAGTAGGCAACGGGTGAAGTGTCTCGCCCAAGGACACAACGACCGAGACTGTCCAAGCCGGGGCTCGAACCGGCAACCTTCCGATTACAAGACGAACTGCCAACTCTTGAGCCACGATCACCACCAAACCTACATCATGACCAGCAGCTTTACAGCTGTGGCTCCAGCAAACATCAGCTGATACTAGAAATTAATATTAAATAAATTCTAACAACAGCTGATCAAGCTTAAACGTGCTGCTGTTGTTTAGCGTGACATCTGCTGGTTTCCTATTTCTGGCGCAAAGTGAGCGATAAACAAACAAGAGAGCCGATCAGCTGATCACTGATCAGTTTCATGATTGAAGTAGCAACAGGAGAGAGAGGGAGAAGTAACGCGTTCCTGGTTTTGGCATAATAACTAGTTACCGTGCTCGTTACCACAATAATAACGTAGTTACTGTAACGCGTTACTTAATAATACCTTAGTCCCTACACTGCTCCTACGTGAGTGCCAATGTATTTTATGTTATACAATTTATGTACTTATATATATATGAGCTGACTGACAGAAATCACACACACAATGAGGGGCAACACGACTCAAACAGAGGCAAACAGACATTATACACACAGGAGGACGATTAAGGGACGTGGAGACACGTGGGAACGCAGCTGCACTGAATCATAAGTATAAAGACAGAGGAAGGAAAACATCACACACGAGACTATCAAAACAAAACAGGAAGTAACACAATGATCCTCAGATTAAGACAGCGGTCCCCAGCCCCCGGGCCACGGACTGGAGTCGTTTGGTACCGGGCCGCGAGAGTTGAGGCTCAGGTGTGAAATTGCTGGTTTTCAGGGTTTTTATCGTTAACTCGGTTTCCCGTGTTGTAGTTGTGCGTCTTATTTTGAAAGAAATATTTACGTGTTACCATAGCGACCAGAGAGCATTAAGGAGCAGAGAGGAGGATGTTGCTCTCAGTGTTGTTGGTACATTTCAAGAGGACGCTGCTAAGTTACAGAATTACACAGTGAATTTGCGTTTATGATCATATTTACAAAAGTTTTTGTCTTGGTCGTATCATTTCGTTGTATTTATCCGCGACACCTTAAAGGCCGTGAAAATATTGTCTGACATTAAACTGGTCCGTGGTGCAAAGAAAGGTTGGGGAGCGCTGGATTAAGACATGTGAAGTTGACATTGAGACTGGGGATAAATACACGTGGCGATATGTCAGATTGGAGAGACAACACAGAGAGATGCATGCAGGAACATGTAGGGAGAAAACAGAGGGACTGGACTACAAATGTATTAACTTGACAAGACAGAGAATACAAGACCAGCCATGGAGAGGAAACGCAGCGAGACCAGACAGATACGGAGACGTGACTCATATCAAACACGGGGACACTGACAAGAGACTGACTGAGACTGGGAACATACTGGACACAAAAAGGGAACTATGCAAGAAAGATCCAAGGACTGGAAATATAAATAATTAAAACTCAGAGACACAAAGAAGTACTAACAAATACAGGACTTCAACCTGAAAACAAAATAAACTACAAGAGCAACACAAAATTCAAAATACTGGGACAAAGACAGCCTGTTTGTAAGCTGCACTAAAGCAGACTAACACGCTGGTGCAACTCTAGCTACATGCCATGAATCTGGGTATAGACCCTTAATGTGGGCAGGCTCTCTTTGCTCATATTATAATTAAATACAATTACATGTAATAACTCATAGCTTTGCACATAATGTATCTTTTCCATACTTTCTTTTGCCTGAAGTCCCTGCACATTGAATTTGACTTTAGACCAGTTTCCTTGTAATTTAATTTTGATGCGTTTGAGTTCAAGCGCGTGAGTCTGGAAAAATTAGAGCATAACAGTTAAATCAGAGCAGCAGCTCTCTGTTGTTGGGATTTAGATCAAATTTGCATGTAAGTAACGTGTAACACAAAGTCTCTGATTATCCAACACGTGAATCATAAACTCTGCTGTCATCAGTGAAAGTAAAAAACAACAGTTAGTCTTGTCTGTGAAAGTTCGCAGTCATCCAGGTCATCGCAGTCTGAGGAGCTTGGAAAGAAAATTGTCTGGACTTCTTGCTACCATCCTGGCACCTCTCGTGGGGAACACCCCACACCACATCAAGAACTCCACCGACTTCACCGACAAGGTCAAGAAACTTACCCTGGATCCAGATGAAACCATGGTGTCCTTTGATGTAGTCTCTCTCTTCACCTGCAAACCCACCACGGAGGCCGTGGAGACTGTCAGAAAACGACTACAAGAAGACAGCTCCTTGGAGGACAGGACCAACTTCACACCCAATCAGATCTGCACACTGTTAGACCTCTGCCTCACCACTACATATTTCAAATACAACGAGGGTTTCTACAGATAAAAACATGGCTGTGCCATGGGCTCCCCCGTGTCACCTATTGTAGCCAACCTTTACATGGAGGAAGTGGAAAGGAAGGCTCTTGGCTCTTTCAAAGGAAGAGTACCCAGCCACTGGTACAGATATGTGGACGACACCTGGGTCAAAATCAAGACACAAGAAGTGGAATCCTTCACTGCGCACATCAACGCTGTGGATAAAAACATCAAGTTCACCAGGGAAGACACAAAGGACAACTGTCTGCCTTTCCTGGACTGCGCTGTGCACATTGAAGAGAACGGCAACCTCAACATCGAAGTTTACCGGAAGCCCACACACACGGACCAGTACCTCCTCTTTGACTCCCATCACCCTTTGGAACACAAACTTGGAGTAATTAGGACCCTACACCACCGGGCAGAACGTGTTCCCTCTAAGCCTGAAGGGAAAAAGAAGGAACACACACATGTAAAGGAAGCACTCAAAACGTGCGGCTATCCTAAATGGGCGTTCTTAAAGTCAGCAAAGAGGCACAGAAAAGAAGACCAGACACCAGCGAGGGAGGATAAGAAGGACAGACGCAACAACATTGTCATCCCCTATGTAGCCGGTGTATCAGAGAAACTCAGGAGAGTTTTCTCCAAGCATGACATCCCAGTGTATTTCAGACCCAGCAACACACTCAGACACAAACTGGTTCACCCGAAAGACAAAACGCCAAAACACAAACTTAACAATGTGGTGTATGCTGTACAGTGCAGCGAGGAATGCTCAGACCTCTACATTGGAGAGACCAAACAGCCACTTCACAAGCGCATGGCACAACACAGAAGAGCCACCTCCACAGGACAAGACTCAGCAGTCCATCTGCATCTTAAGGATAAAGGACACTCTTTCGAGGATGCCAATGTTCACATTTTGGACAGAGAGGACAGATGGTTTGAAAGAGGAGTGAAAGAAGCATCTATGTCCACTGTGAGCGACCATCTTTGAACAGAGGCGGGGTTTACGACACCAACTCTCTGCCATCTATAATCCAGTTTTGAGATCCTCCCCAGACGCCTTAACGCCCACTCACATCCTGGGCCATCTGACCTCAGGAAATCACATGATAGGGTGGGGCCAGGTTTCACAACTAGCTCACCCGAAACCCTGGCTGATTGGGGCCCACACCCAGTTTCACACCTCGGCTCATGTGATTAGAGGATCATCAGGGGTCATTTTGTCCCTCTGTGGGGAGAAACTCCCACTGGGTTTAAATCTGGGACTCTCCACCAGTCGCTCTTAGAACTGAGGAACTGGACTTAAAGAAGTCCAGATGCTTTTCTTTCCAAGCTCCTTAGAGCTCTGTAAAACATGTTTCTGGAAACATTTTTAATATTACTCATTGATCCATCGTTTACACTAAGTTGTGACTTCTTATCCTTGGATCATCTTGTTTGTTTTTTAAAACAATCATTTGTTTTCTAGCATAGGAAATGGGATAGCAGTGACAAGTAGCACAGCATCTTTCTAACAACATGAAACACGACTGTTAGAGTGAAAATGTTACAGTGAGAACATTTTACATTTGCTACAGTTACAGCAAACATCTTTACGTCATGCTGATTTCTTTTTCTTGGAATGAAAATTGTTTCAGCCTCCTCACCTCCACGCACGGCTACAAATGCTACAGTAGCCACTTCAACAGCCTCCTCCTCACCTCCACGCATTTCCACCAGTCCTACAGTAGCCACGTCGTCTGACGTCTCACCTCCACGCATGACCACATATCCCATAGTAGCCACTTCAACAGCCTCACTTCCACGCACGACCACAAATGCTACAGTAGCCACGTTGTCTGACTCCTCACCTTCATCCATGGCCCCAAATGCTACAGTAGTTAGTCCATCAGTGAATTCAACTGCCATGTCTGGTAATGTATTCAGAGTTTATAGTTTCATGGATTATTGGCACAGCTGTGTGATAAAATGCTACATTTGTAGTTTAGCATCGTGTCAGGTACAACCAGTCTGCTAGCTGTTAGGTATTTCTGCCTGAAGTTGACCTCCAGCCTGCTCTCACACAGCAACCAGAGCTCCTCCTGCAAGCACCTCAAATGAGACCTCACTCACACCCACTCCACCCAGCAACTCATCTGACTCTCAGGCCTCACCTACAGGCACCACAGTGACAGCTACCACTGAAGGTTGGCCGTTTCTTTATTATACAGGCCTGTGATGACATTGATGTGAATATAAGCAAAGAACACGGCGCTGCTGAGTTACAAGTACCTGTAAGGTGCTCTGAGCTGTTGTACATTCATGCTGCATAATCACAAACTAATAATTTTGTTCTTTTCTGATCTCATTTGAATGCATCGTTTCAGCCACCGAGACGACTCCTGAGCCTCCAAAGTGTGAGTGTCAGTTTAAAGATAATATGTCGTCTGCTTTCAAACACTAGTGATGCTGTCGAGCGTTTCTTACTTAGTGAAAGTTTATTTTTCTATCGAGTGTAAAGATTGTGTTTTAGTTTTAGCCAACGCTGGACTGTGGTCAACATCTGCATGAACAAACTGACTGAGATGAAACATTTCAGCAGCTGATTGATGTTCATGAACAAAATGTAACAATCGATTTGATTTCGTGCTCAGGTTCCTACACTGTCACACCCATCGAGTTTGGACTGCAGATTAATGTGATGAACTTCACCCCTGGTGACTACAACATCAGTATTACTGAAGGAGGTCGACGAGTGATTGAAGAGAGGGTCGACTCTACTCAACACAAGAGCCAACGCCTGAAGCCCTGTACTGAATATGAGCATCAAGTTTTATACAATTATGGCAATAAAATAATCAAGTGTACCTCCACTGGAAATAAAGCTGAAACAAAAGAAATGAGTGAGTACAAATAATTCATGATTTTTTGTGTTTCACCTTCTTGTAGTTTAACAAACTTGATATCAAATATATTTGTGCATCACTTGTGTGTTTCAGGTAAAACAGACATTATAGGGCAAAGCAGCATAAATGGACATATTTGCTACCAGAGCCAGTGGAACATCAGCTCGTTAAAATTACCACCAAATATAACTTCAGTTAATAAGTCCAGTAGTGACAGTAATACATTGTGTGTCCAAACTAATGACATCTGCTCTGATTATGAAATAACCTTCACTTCAGAAACCTGTGTGAATACTTCATTTGATATCACCAAAAACATCATTGTTGGTTTGTACAAGAAAAGTTACCTTTACATTAAAACTCATATGCTTATAATAGGAAGATAATTCAATCATGTTTTTTTCCACAGATTTATATAATTTAACTGAAATACAGCAAAATCCTTCCACTGGACTTCCTGCAGTGATACAGCCAACGTTACCAAAGATCAAAGAGTGTAAACATATCACAGTTAATTACACTTGTTCAGGTAAGTGAAACATCCGCTTCACTGTAAGTATGTTTGATCTGAAAGCTCTTCTGCTGTCAGAGGACTGAGTGTTTGTGCTCTTTGTGAATTTGTTTTATTTTGTATTCTGCATTTGAATATAAAACCAAAGATGAACTGCTACATGCACCGAGTTATAAAAATGATGTCGTCTTTGTTTCTTCTCCGAAAAAGACAAACCTGGTCAAACGAACAAACCGCTGTCCGAGCTGGAGCCCTTCACCAAATACAGCTGTACTGGTCTGATCTTCATCAACAACATCCCCACAGTTTACACAACTCCACCCGTCCACCTTAACACTGACTGTGGTGTGTTGATATTTAACTTACCTCAGAGGGATGAAGCTTTTCCTCCTCAGATAGTTTGAAGTGCCACAAACTAACAGCTGCTGCACTGTTACTGTTTGTTTCAACAGATCTTACAATAAACTTGGAGAATAAAAAAACGAATACTTCCATTAAACTGAGCTGGAAAACAACCAGTCAGAAATGTAATGGTGTCCTTCACAATTTTTCATATGACTGCAGTTGTGATAAAAAAGGTAAGTCCAATCATTTGGATTCACTTACACTTTATAAATATCTTATATTAAAATGTATTAGTTTTGTTTTTGTTTATTGTTAACAAAAGATCTGCTTATTTGATCATTAAAATATATAGAAGTGTTTATATTTTGAGCTAATAATTTACTAAATATAACTGCTTGACATTTAACCCCCATCACTAAACACATGAAGTATGATCCAAAATAACGATATGTCACTGCATTCTTATCTTATACTCAGATCTCCAACCTGTTATGTTCAGTCTGCTGCTCATGTCGTTGTCGTGTTTACTAAAGCCAGCAGGTCAAAGTCACCTGAAGTCTCTTTAGCTGGACCTGCTGATTTAAACCACAAAGAGTTCATGAACATTATGTTACAGGAATCACAGGAATCCCAAAGCCTCAGTCTGACGGAGGAACGTGTGATTTTACTGGACTCGAAGCATTCACTGATTATACCTGTGGAGTCCAACCCAAATACAACAGCAAGACGGTTTCCAATAAAAGGGAAGTTACACTGAGAACTGCCCCTGGAGGTAAGTTACCAAACTAAATATTCAGAATTACACTTCATAACAAAGCTGAACCTTTAATTTATCAAAATCAAACTTTGTTTAGCTGTATTTTTTATATCCTTCTAAAACACAACATGAAGACTTTGGTGGTGAACAGCAGAAAATAAAGTTACAAAATGATGTTTTCATGAAGAAGAATAAACTCGAGCTCATTTATTTTAGTGAAAGATTGGAAACAAATGTGTTTTTCAGTGTGACAGTCCTGATTATAATTAATGTGATTTAGATATATTTTAAGATAAATGCCATGAAACAGAGAGCATCCCTCATATCAACTAAATCCGACTCTCTGAAACTTTACAGTGAACATTAAAACATGCTGAGTCATCAGTGAAGAAACGTGACAGTAATTATGACGTTCAGTCGTTTAAGCAGCGCTGACTCAGACTCTTGTTCTCTGGGACTTATAGAAATGTGTTTGTTAATTTTCTTTACTCGTTCATATTATTCTGGAGGGAAAATGTGTTTAATGATAAGAGATAACTGAAGTTCATTCACATGTTTTCTGTTTTTTAAAGTTACATATCTGTACATTAAATGTAAGCTGGGCTCCATGAAAACAAAATGATAAATTGATTCTTCAATAATTAATAATTAATTTCTATTATGAATCCTTTTAACATTGCAAACATAAACATGTTTACTTTCACATGTTTTGTCTCGTTGCTGATGGACATAAAAATGAATCTTAAAACTATGATCCCTGTTTTCATTTCCTTACAGTACCCGACGGTTCCCCTAAAGTGACTGTAACTGTGCCGGAGAATAATGTGATTAAAGTAGAGTGTCACCATGAAGGCAAGATTAGAGGACCAGACAAATATAGAAGATTCATAGCACGTCTTCATCCTGGTGGTGAAAACAAACCACAGAATGAAACAGTTTGTAAGTTTGAATTCAAGGATCTGAGCTACTCTACAGCATACAGAGTGGAGGTTTGTATCATCCTACTTTTAAGTATATGATTATTTTATGGCTGCTTTATTTTAATGGTGTCATTTCTTATGAATGAACATCTGAAACATCTGTATTTATAGGTGACTGTTTTCAACGGATACTTTGAAAGCCAACCGGGCAGAGGAACAGCTGATACTCGCTGTAAGTATGGATTCAATGACACAGTTTGTTGGATAAATCAGTTCACACACACACACACACACACACACACACACACACACACACACACACACACACACACAGGTGTCTGTTTTTAACAGACAAGTTGAAAGTGAAGCCAAAGCCAGCACTCGCTGTACTGTTCACACAATGAAATAAAGTATAAATATCTTTACTCTGCTGGGTAACATGACTTCTTTGTATCTTGAATATTAAAGCCACTGTTTGATATTGTTTGAACCTGTTTTCAGACAATGACAAAGCTGTCATTGGTTTTTTGATCTTCCTCATATCCGCCGCTCTGCTTCTGGCGGCCTGCGTGTGCTACAGGAAGCTCAGAAAGCGTAGGAGGTAAAGGCCACGCATCCAACATCGTTAGTTTATATTCATCTGTTATCAGTGATAAAACTGTTTGTTGTAAATGAATTTCAATTTATTATAGATGACATTTATCTATGGTGATAATTATGTTCTGTTTTCACACAGTAGGATGTTAACTGTTAAGTAAATCTTCTCTCCACAGTGACGAGGATGAAAATGTGGCCTCAGAAGCAAGTATGTAGACATTCAGCTGCTGTTACCATGAACTATGTAAATGTTAATACTTTGTTACATTGTTACTATTTGTAGTTGTAAAGAGTCTTATATTGGTTTAGAATTTTTTAATTATTTTGTATTTATTTTATAATTTTGTCCTTCTGTTTTAAATCCTCTTTACCTTCATTTAGTTTCAGGAGTTGTTTTGCTTTCAGTCTCGTTTTTATTGATTAAAATATTTAGTTTGAATTTAGTTTTTAGTTTTTAGTTGTTATTTTTCTCTTTTTAATTATTACACTGATTTAGGAAATATAGGCTAAATAATTTGATATTTCCATAAAAACACAACCCTTTGTGAAAGCACGTCACTCACATAAATCTAAATGTCACAAGTCTTAAAGCATCTGTACCAAAGCCTCGTCAGGTTTGTTGTGTTTCGCCAAAACTACAAAGACTCAAACTGAGACTATTTCCTGTAAACCAAAGGATTCCAACTCGTCCTCGAGAGCTGCTGTCCTGCAGCTTTTAGATGCATCCTTGTTCCAACACATCTGCATCCAATGAATGGTTTGTTATCAGGCTTTTGCCAAACTTGATGACATGCTGAACAGATAATCCATCCATCTGATTGAGCTGTGTTGGAGCAGGGATGCATCTGAAAGCTGCAGCACAGCAGCTCCCGAGTTGGACATCCCTGCTGTACGCATTCACTTTATTTTAAATGGTTTCAACAGGTCACAACATTATTTTGTTGGTTTAATTTTGCAGATATTTTTTTAACTGGCTAACTAAAATGTTTCATCATACCTAGTAATTTTATTAGTTTAGTTTTAGTTACTGTAAGTATAATAAAACTGGTTGCAGCAGAAGTTATGTTTCATAATCGTGCTGTGGTTTGATGCTTTGTCATGTTTATTGTTGTTTCCTTTGTCTTATCACAGTTTACATGAACACACGACCTCCTGGGTGGCGTCAGAAAGAAGCTCAGTAACCAAGAACATCTCGGAGCATCAAACTAAATCTCCATAAATTCTTTATCTTTAGTATTTACGTTGTTCAGTCTTCATTTGGTCATTTTTCCATTTTAGCAATAAAAAAATATTTTGTTTACATTAGACCCAAATCTCCATGTTTTTTTTCTTAAATAAACGATTAATTACTGAAATAAACATTAAAAATGCACTATAAAAAATTATGTGTACAACGTTAATTAATATAATTATTTGGGTGTTTTTTGTTTTTGTTTTCAATCAGCGTTAGATTACAGGTAAATAAATGTAAAGATAATTACACATAATAATGTGTGAAGGTGTTGTTGATTATTTAACATTGTTCAGATTTACCTTGAAATCACCAGAAACTCCAGCTGCAGCTTCACTACACACGAGCAAACTTTTTTATGACAAAATATCAGCTCTGACTCATAATATTTTACACCAGCCTAAAATAGGCTTTTTATTTTTTACATTAATAAACTTGATAAGATGAAGTTTCAGTTCTTGATCTGAAATATAGAAATCACAAAAAAGCTAATTCTCTATAAATAAATAAAAAAAACAAGCAGCTGTAACTGTTCTGTCTAAAAGTTATGATAATCACTTGTGTCATAAGTTGTAATAATAACATAATAATAACATGAGCTGAGAGAATATATGTGACAGTGATGGACACTATCATGAACTGTATGATACAGTGAATGCATTTAAAAGCCACTGAAAGCACTAAACTCAGCTGGCTGTGTCTTTATTATTAACATCGAGGCTGACATTAACATCGACTAATAGAAAGTTAAAAGAAAACTTTGTGGTTTAGATCGAAGTTTCCTGTTCGAGGTAGCAAAGCGGAAATGTGACTTTCTGTAAACAAAGTTTCAGTTTGTGAAAACTGACAGTCAAGTATTAAGTATCTGCCCTGCCCGATTTCTTGGTTTTTGCATATTTATAATGATAATAATAATTCATGGTATTTAAAAGTGCCTTTAAAACACCCAGGGACACTGCACAGAGCAAATAAGACAAGCGTCAAACCAGGAAATAAACACAGTAATAAAAGAAAGTTTAAGATGGAGACGTTAGAGTAGACTGTCTGGAAGAGGTGGGTTTTGAGGATGGACTTAAAAAGGGGGGAAATTTATCACACTTACATGTTTAAGATCATCAAACAAATTTTAATAGTCAACAAATATGAAATTCACTTTTTAAATGATGATTTTATTTATTAAGGGAAAAAAGGCATCCAGACCTACCAATCAAACCTATGTGCCCCCCAATAATGATTTAGTTAGTTTAGGTTCACTAGCCCCGCCCACATCTGGTTACTGCCAGACCAGCTGAATCACTTAAAAGAATCGACCTGAGAAAATGGAGCACACTAAAAGATTTCAACAAGCCTTCGTGAGCCTGTCTGTCAGTCATTTCCTTTATTCACAAATGGAGAAAACCCACAACAGTAACAGTAACAGCCTCCTCAGAAGTGACCTAAACATCTGAACAGCTGCAGTGTTCATAGTTCAACAATGCAGGGCATCTATCCTGATAACCACCAAGACCTGCTGGAAAATATTCTAAATAAGTGTATAAAGCACATCAACTTAATCATCCTTTGTCAAGTATTTTTCACTGTCTTAATTATGGAGCTAATATTTATTTATATAATAAAAAATACATTTTTGCTTATTTGTTTAATAAAATACTTTTTTAAATCCGATACTTTATTGATTCTGTGTTACATCAGCAGTATAAGTCATAAAAATAAAAACAGTATATAATAAAATAACATGAAGCACAGGCCCATACTGAAGGCCTTTTTGTGTGAGGCAGTGCAAAATTTGATATACAACAGTAATAAAATAAAAATAAAAATTAAGTGAAAGAAAAAGAAAAGACTGAGACAGGGCAAAAAGGAATTCTAGTAAAATTGTTGCATTTTTAAATGAAGTTTTATAAAATTCATTTGGAAACAAGGTTTTATTATTCAGTTTGTTTCAAACAGGAATAAACAGGAAGCTGAAGTCGTTTAACTTCACATTTAAGTTCCAGGTTCATCATTCTAGCTGTGTTCAACAGCCGTGTGCAAACCATGATTTCCTCCATCCAACCTCCAGAAATGTAATGTTGCTTTGTGGCAGAGCCATGAGTATTTTATTCTTTTTTTCCTTTCGTTGGTGACATGAGTGCAGACAGGTTTGTAAAATCGAAACATCTTTTTGTAGTAAGACAAATAAAGTAGTTGCGTACCCAGGGCCATTCAGCAGCATTTCAGTGTTGGAAGTTTGTGTGGTAATAAAATGGGACGTGATCAGTAACAGTAAGGAGGCCTGCGTTACTCCTGCTGTCTAACAGAGGTACATGTAAGTGTTTCACTCTTTGATGGATCCTCTGGCCACCAAATCAGCCTCCATCTGTACTGTACATCATGATCTGTTCTTATACTTCACCTTATCTTTATTTATCTCTTAATTATATATAAATAGCACTAACTGAAGATTTTCTCATTCTGCTCCACATCTGTCACCTCCTCACCACAGCAGCAGCTACTGCTTCAACAGCAGTCCCACACCCACACCCACAGCCATCTCAACTGCCATCTACCCACAATCAAACAGCTCATTTCAAACGGCCACTTAACATCACATTCAGCCATTTATATGACACTGATGATTCAGCCCCTGGTGACTAAGAACTGGTGAAGAAGGCCGACCATTATTCGGTACGTCAGTGACAGCAAGGAAATCCAACAAGATAACAGAAGGAGTAACTATGAGCATAATGCTGCATTTATTGGCGCTGAAAATAAAACTAACAACTGTGATGAGTGAGTACAATTGTTCCTGTTTTTGTGTTTTACTCTATTTTAATTCAGATTTTTATTTTTTAAATAAAAGTAATATTTGTGCATTTCAGATAAGAATGACATAGAAAGCACAGATTAGTTGGATCCTTGGATATGTTTGATATCAGCTCAAACCCAGCATCTCTGTCACACCTGCTTATGAGGACATTTGCTCAGTTTTGACCAAAACCTTCACTACAGGAAGCTGCCTGTGTTCTTCCTTTAGTCTCACCAAAAACATCAATGTTGGTGCCAGTCTGCACTTTAAATCCACCTGCTTTAAATGTAATGAGGTTTTATCAGGTTTGCTTCATTTTAAAGTATGTTGTGCAGAGTTCTTAAATCCAAGTGAAATACATCAGATTCTTCCTGCAGAAATAACACTGGTGTTTCCGTCTCAGTGTAAAAGTTTTGGCAGGTGGTAAGTTTACATCTTAGCTACATTATAAGACGATCTGATCCGAATGGTCTTTTGCCGTAAGACGAGTGAATGCCCTGCGGTCTCTGAGAAGCTCAAAACTTTTGAATGTGTCCACATTTGAGTCAAAACCCAAAAGATATTGGTTATGTCTTCTTAGAAAGCTGTAAACAGAGGGAGGTTAATCTAACTGACCTGGAGCCTGTTGCAGCTAAACTGGTCTGACTGTAGAGCACAACATCGTCACAAATAAGATAACTCCAGCTCTCCACATTAACATTGACTGTGGTGCGTTTCATTTCATTTACCTCAGAGGAGTGAAAGCGTTCCTCCCGAGATGATGTCATGCAAACTGACAGATAAAGTCACTGTTTGTATTTTAACAGATCTTACAGTAAAGATGGAGGAAAAAACAGAAGAAACTGATACTTTTATTAAGCTGAGCTGGAAAACAACCAGTGAGATGTAAACTTGTGCTAACACTTACTTTATTATGACTGCAGGTGTCGTGCCCAATCTATCAGTGACAGAAGAACTAGAAGTAAGTTAAGTTTTGAGATACTGTGATCTCCAACCTGTTATGCTTTCTAAAGAGTTGCATGAGAAGGATCTGCATTCATGTCATGCATGCTGTACAGGAAAGCTCACAAAGAGAGCATCTCTGATTGCTATAACCGATGTTTTCATCTTCAGCTCCTGAGAACCAGTCGTCTGAAGTTTAAACAGATTTCAAATCAGACACCACTAATGAAAATTCTGTTACAGGCATCATAAAGCTACAGCCTGATGTGGGGACCTGTGATATTACTGGATTACAACCATACACTGTCTGTACCTGTGAAGCTGACCCTAAATACAACAGCAGGCTAGTTTCTGGCAAAAGAAAAGTAACAAGGAAAACATTTACTGGAAGTAACAACAACAAATATTCAAAACTGCATCACTTAGCTACATAATACAAAATCTGTGCATTTTATTTATTAAAAGAAAACAGTGTTTAGTTGTGTTTTGACAGGGACTAGAAAAAGAGAGCAGATTTCTCCTGTTTTGGCTTCCTGTTAAATCCAGAATTCAAAATCCTGCTCCTCCTTAAATAATCAGACCCCATCTTATCTGACCTTCTCTCTCCTGTCATCCTTCTCTCTCCCCAACCAATCACAGCAGATGGCCCCGCCCCTCCCTGAGCCTGGTTCTGCTGGAGGTTTCTTCCTGTTAAAAGGGAGTTTTTCCTTCCCACTGTCGCCAAAGTGCTGCTCATAGGGGTCATATGATTGTTGGGTTTTCCTCTGTATCTATGAAGCGCCTTGAGGCGACTTTTGTTGTGATTTGGTGCTATATAAATAAAATTGAATTGAATTGAATTTTTGTTCATATCTTTCTAAAACACAAGACTGACAAGTTGTTGGTGAGAAAACATTCTTACAAAAATATATTTTCAGAAAAATTGAAGGTTTGTTTATTTAAATGAACGATGCTGTTTTATCAGTGTAACTAATTACAACTAAAAAGAATTCATTCCCTGATATCAACATCAGTGTAACATTTGTATATCACACTCTCCAGAACTTTACAGTGAACAAAATATGCTGTAAATAGATACTTTGAAACCGGAGAAAGAACATGTTGATACTTTCTGTATGTATTCTTTTAACAAACTTGACACAAACTGTAATGTTTTTTCATAACTGAAGTAATATTTCTATCATAAGTGTAAATCTAACATATAATCTTTCTGAAAACTCTCCAGTCACCTTCTTGTGATAATCAGCTGTTCTATTACCAAACAATAAGTATTTCAATGATTTTCAATGATTCAATGATTGAGTTTGTGATTAAGAGTTCAAACAGACTAATTTTCAGTGCACCTCTACATAAGTGCAGCATAAGTTCAGTTATTTTTAGGTAGAAAGAAATACTTAGATGAACATACTAACAGTTATGATGGAACAGCTAGAGGGCTATCCTTACAAGTGAAATATTCCAGCTCTTACTGTCAAATAAAGTTAAACCTATAATAAACGCCTCGCCTTTTGTTTTAACTCGGTTCTGTGATCTTCCGTGTTCGCACTCGGGCCCTCCTTCCCACTCCCACACACTGTCTGAGTGCTTCAGTGACCCTCAATTCTTCCGGGAGCCCACAACACCTGTACCTTGGGCCTCAGCAGGAAAGTCATCTAATTGGTCGAGGAGGCCATGTCTGTATCTGCATAGTCAGCGATATTCTGATTTTAAAAAGTCAACATTTTTTGGAGGCAGATTTTTTATTCCTAAACTTTAAAAATTAAAAGATGCTAGTTTTTTCATTAAAGTAAAATCTTATGATCAAACACCAAACTTCACTTTACATGTTAATCTGAGACAAAAACTGAGCTGCACAGCACGCAGCATTTGTTTCAAAGCTTCGTATGAAAAAAGTAGATGCAGTGTTTTAAGTTTCAGTGGTTCTTTTTTTCAGCATGTACATGAAGAGGACGTGCAGCTTCTGTTGCAATGTGTGAATATCTTTCTGTGGTTTGCACTTATTTCTGTACGCTCAACCGCTGAATATGGCAGCCTTCTGTCTCCGTGTCCTGCTGCTCTGGGCAGGAATCCTTGTTGTGACAAACTGTGAGTACAGTTTATTATTTGATACCAAATCTGATGCAGAACGTGGTGCAGTAACTATGTTTTTAATTTCTCTGCATTTTCCATTTTATAAAGTAATTTATAGTATAATATGGGGGAAAATGTATTCTATATTTAAAGCTGGTTTTGCAAAATATCGCATATGGAAAATATTGGTCATCTGTCACATTTTTTGAGGACGTTTGAAGATGAAAGTGTAAGATAAATGTACTAACATTTAAAAAAATATAATAAAATAAAATGTGCACGGACCGACTCCATTTCCATGTTAATTTTTAGAACTTTTGTTCCTGCCTAAAACTCAGAAAAGAACTGTAAAAGTAGTGACTTTTACTGAGCGTTAATAAAACACCAAACTTTGATACAGATTGTGTTCGACGATGTCATAAAGAAACTACAGAAGGTTAAAACTGTTCTACACCAGACCAGCTCTGTCTCTCCGTCTCTTTGCAATTAAAAACGACTTTAGTGGAACACTTATAATGTGTCCACTTCACCACTCAGCTCTGATTATTAAGCATTGGATATGATTAAATATGTATAAATATGTGTATATATATATATATAGCTGTGACCAAAGAGGTTATGCGTGCGTCATTCCTTCTGTCTGCAAACACAGTAGTTCGAAGATTTTTGAGTAAATTGTGGTAAAACTTTGTAGGAGTGTAGAGTGGGGTCATGTTAGCAATCCACTAAAATTTCACTCAACAGTCAACATAATGATTTCTGGTGGAAAACTGGTAACAAATATAACTGATTCTTACAAGTGTGGTGCACCAGCATATAACAAGTGATAATAATGCTATTTTTTTATTATATATATATATATATATATATATATATATATATATATATATATATATATATATATATATATATATATATATATATATATATATGTATATTAGGGGTGCAACGATACACAAAATTCACGGTTCGGTTCGGTTCGATACTTTGGTGTCATGGTTCGATATTTTTTCGATACAAAAAAATGTTCATGCCTTTTTAATTTGTCATTTATTAAAATTATAAATATATATTTAACTCAAAAGTACAGTTTTTAAATTTAACCCTAACCCTTGTGCGTGTTTTTTATTTTGACAGCGAATGCGCACCTGCGGACCACTTATGTGCAGCCCTGGTTATTTAGCTCGTCATATTGCAGCCACAGAAATTCTTTTGTCCATGAAACCATAAAGCTGCACTTTCTTTTTGCCTTATAGTCTGATTTGTCATAACTTCTCCGTTTTGTGGTAAGCTTTTCTTTGGCTGTCACTTCTTCACCCTGACCTGTCTTGTTTGGCTCAGCAGAACTGAAATGCTTTTACACACGGACTCACATAAGCTCAGCGATTCTCTGCGCGATCAACCTCTCACATGTTTAAGCTGCAGGAGATTTCACTTGTCATGTTTGCATAGTAAGCTAAAGATTAATAAGACGATGTCAGAGGAATTGGTGCACAAATTATCATCACTCACAGATCAGTGCTATCGCTCTCTATACACAGTTCGCACGATTGCAAAGTGAAAGCAAAAAACAAGCACAAATTCAAACGCGATTGCAATATGTCACATATTGACAGTGACTCACCGATGCCAATGACATAATTACCCAGCTACATTTCTGAAAGAATGCAAAAGCATTGACATATATTTTTCCTTCCTACAATAGCCCGACGGGCAGGGTAGAGAGAGATTTTGGTAGCCCGACTGGCCCACCATTGCGAGCCCTGTATCTGATGGAGAAATCCCTCATCTTTGGAAAAGAGAGTTTATTACAGATAAATGGCTCTTTCAAAATAAAAGCTCTACTATACGCTTCTTCTGGGCTATATTCTCAGCAGCATATTAAACATATCAGGTCCCCATAAGGAGAATCCTGTGCTAACGGCTGTCTAAATGACTCGGGTAAAGTTTGTAGCATGCTGCTTGTTGTTTTTGTCTGCCTCCACTTGTCTTTGCACGAGGATGATGTCGGAGTAAATGTGCAGTCATATTCGTTGTGTTCGGCAAGGGAACAATAAGAGAACAGCACCACCAAGGCTGGAGACGGAGCAATACTGCAAGAGCATATGGGAGAAGGACGCAACCCATAACAGCAATGCTCAGTGGCTAGTGGATCTGAGGGCAGGCAAATGGGAACCATGAAGAGGCCGCTAGAAAAGCTGCAACCACCAAGTACCTGCAGAGGGTCAGGCAAGTCCTGAGGAGTCAGCTGAATGGTAAGAACAAGATCCGAGCCATCAACACGTACGCCCTGCCCGTGATCAGGTACCCTGCTGGGGTAATAGGCTGGCCAAAGGAGGAGATAGAAGCCACTGACATAAAGACAAGAAAGCTCCTTACCATGCATGGAGGGTTTCACCCCAAGTCCAGCACTCTGAGGCTGTACGCTGAGCGGAAGGAAGGGGCCGGGGACTGGTGAGTGTCAGCACCACAGTCCAGGATGAGACAACGAACACCCAAGAATACATTGGGAAGATGGCCCCAACTGACCGAGTGCTCAGTGAATACCTCAGTCAGCAGAAACCCAAGAAAGAGGAGGGAGACGAGGAACCATCATGGAAGGACAGAGCCCTGCACGGTATGTACCACCGGCAGATAGAGGAGGTGGCTGATATCCAGAAATCCTACCAGTGGCTGGACAAAGCTGGACTGAAAGACAGCACAGAGGCACTAATCATGGCAGCACAAGAACAAGCTCTGAGCACAAGATCCATAGAGGCTGGGGTCTATCACACCAGGCAAGACCCCAGGTGCAGGCTGTGTAAAGATGCCCCAGAGACAATCCAGCACATAACAGCAGGGTGCAAGATGCTAGCAGGCAAGGCATACATGGAACGCCATAACCAAGTGGCCGGCATAGTGTACAGGAACATCTGTGCCGAGTATAACCTGGAAGTCCCGAGGTCAAAATGGGAGATGCCCCCAAGGGTGGTGGAGAATGACCGAGCTAAGATCCTGTGGGACTTCCAGATACAGACGGACAAAATGGTGGTGGCTAACCAACCGGACATAGTGGTGGTAGACAAACAGAAGAAGATGGCCGTAGTGATCGATGTAGCGGTTCCGAATGACAGCAATATCAGGAAGAAGGAACACGAGAAGCTGGAGAAATACCAAGGGCTCAGAGAAGAGCTCGAGAGGATGTGGAGGGTGAAGGTAACGGTGGTCCCCGTGGTAATCGGAGCACTAGGTGCGGTGACTCCCAAGCTAGGCGAGTGGCTCCAGCAGATCCCGGGAACAACATCGGAGATCTCTGTCCAGAAGAGCGCAGTCCTGGGAACAGCTAAGATACTGCACAGGACCCTCAAGCTCCCAGGCCTCTGGTAGAGGACCCGAGCTGGAAGATTGAAGACCGCCTGCAGGGGCGTGCTGGGAATGTTTTATATATTTATATATATCAAAATCCGCTGGGGCAGTCCCAGAAGCACATATTGATACATAGAAATCAACAACCTTTGTCTCTCAAAACTAGATGCCTGCTAATGCCCTCTCTATCTCCTGCCTCCCTATCTCGTGTCCTTTCTGCCCACTTCTTCGCACACTATGTTCTCCTTGCTTTGGCTTACCAACTCCTTATCCCACTAACGGCAGCTCTGTCGTCTCTGCTTCTCACATGCACCTCTGACCTATTCTCCCAGTTCTATGTGCTCTATGTGTGAATGTTTAGCAGCAACTAAATCCCTAACACTACGATAATCTATTTTTACACCTGATGGGCAGAAACTTATTAATCATGTAGCTGTTTTTTCATTTTTTTCTACAGATTGCTTTAATCCCAGTGAAATACAGCAGATTAAACCCACTGGACTTCCTGCAGAAATTACCACAACATTACCTGATTTACCAAAGTGTAAAAACCTCTCAGTTAGTTACACCTGTTCAGGTAAGTGGAAACTTTACGAGTTAGAGACACGAGCTCTGTGCTCTCTGTGAATCTGTTCAGATTTATTTCTTTGAATGTGTTCACGTTTGAATCTAAACCCAAAGGATGAATGTTCACACACTGAGGACCAACAATGACGTCATCTTTGTGTCTCCTCAGAAAATAACAAAGCTGATGTGAAACTGTCTGAGCTGGAGCCGTTCACAGACTACAGCTGTACTGGTCTGATCTTACAGAACAGCATCAGCATAAATAAGACGACTCCATCTGTCCACGTCAGGGTTGATTGTGGTGAGTTTATATTTCCTTTAGCTCATCAAAATAAAAGCTTTTATTCTCACACAGTTTGAAGCAAAGGAAACGCTGTTCACTGTTACTGATGTTTACTTTGTTCCAACAGATCTTACAATAACCAACATAAAGAAGGATTTAACCAGTACTTCCATTGAGCTCAGCTGGAAAACAACCAGTAAGAACTGTCAACAGGTCCTTCCCCTCCTTCATAAGCTTTCTTATGACTGCAGTTGTGATGGTCAGACAGGTAAAGGTGAGTGAGACGGCTTCTCCTCTTATGTGTTTATGTTCATGATGCTTTGACTGCAGGTGAAAAACCAAACCTCTGACTGGGTGTGAATAAATACAGTTATTAAAATAAATAGCAAATATAAAACAGAATAAACGCTGAAACATCAGAGTCGAGTTCACTTTTTCACACAGAAGAAATGATGAGAAGCTTTGAGCTGTTTGAAGGTAACATCTGATGTTTGAAATGTAATTGTCTTTATAAAAAGCAACAAACAGTTTGTCAGTCTGTTGCTTTTCTGACATGTACGTAGTTTCTATGAGAAGCTTGTAGCATCAGTGCTTCATGTCAGCAGGAACAGACTGTAAGTGAAACAGGTTTGTGCCAGTTTATGGATCAGCTGACAGAACTACCAGCTGATGTGTTTGTGAAACTTTAACCTGACATTTGTCATTTACAGTTTCTTAACATGATGATGTTGATTTAAATCTATAACACTTCACATGGTTCATGGAAATTATGTTACAGCCACAAGTCCTGATGGAAGAACGTGTGTTATTACTGGATTAAATCCATTTACTGGTTATACCTGTCGAGTCCGAGCCAAATACAACGAGATTCAAGTTTCCACTGGGGTGAAGTTAAACTGCAAACTAAGGTTGGAAGTAAGTAATCAAACTTTTTATTACATAATGTTAGAATTTATTTCTCACTGGATATTTGAGCAGTGAAGATAAACAGGAAGGAAACGCAGCAAAGGGTCGCAGGTCTGTCAGTTTTTTACTTTAAATATGGCTTCCTTTAAATTTCTCTTACAGAACCTGCTGCAGTCACTGAGCTGAAATTACACGTTCACGAACATAATACGATCAAAGTGAGCTGGCACAGACCCTCTACATTCAACGGACCTGAGGGAAAATATATAATACGTCTAAATACAGCTGATGATAAGGAAGTGACAAAGAAGGAGCTAGAAGGTACAAAATATGAAGTCGAATTCAAAGATCTGAGCTACTCTACGAGCTACAAAGTGAAGGTTTGTTAAATCCAACATTTTTGGTTTAATAAAGAAGATATTATGCTTATAAATATTATTTTAGACTCCTGAATGTTGTAATTCACAGTGAACTGACATTCTGTCTTTAAAGGTGACGGCTCACAACGGACACTATGAGAGCATCCCTCAAATAAGTGAAATCAGCACTTTGTGTACGTCCTGTTTTCATTAATGATACAGTTTACTGACATAAATGCTTCGTCTCATTTTAAGCACACATGTTTCTACAAATGTTGTCTTTCACGTAAATGTAATTTTTAATATTATTTCACAGACAACGACAAAGCTGTTATTGGGTTTCGTGTCTTCCTCTTCATCGTCATTGTTCTGGCTTTTCTTTTTATCACCTACAAGTTCTACATTCAGAAGTTCAGAACGTCCACAAAGTAAAGTCCACGAGTGCTTTTTCTACACGTCTGACTTTCACTTTGTTCCACTTTATTTTTCATTTCTAGTAAAGGCTAATGTCATCATTAATTTATGTTTACTGTAGAGCAGAGGCACAGTGATGCATCTATTATAAACATAATCCTTATCTTTCCTCCACAGTGACGTGAATGACGACATGGAACTTGAAGCAAGTGAGTAAAGCAAACATTTAGTGGCTGTTACCAGTGTTGGGCAATTTACTTTGAAAAAGTAATTAATTACAGTTACTAGTCAATTTTTCAAAACAGTAACTGAGTTACAAGATTCTAAAATTAATTGTAGTAATTACTGTTAATTAACGTTTAACCCTCCTGGGTCCAGGATATAATTGGCCATTTTTAACTACTTTTGATTTTCCCTCCACATTTTACCTTTAAAAACTATTTACTTTGCCTTGTTTGGTATCATTCTTTTCAGCACAACCTCACGTGTCTGAATTTACAGTCATGTTTTCATTTTGACATACTGTATTAACACAATTGATCTAAAATCAGATAAAAAAGAAACATAAAATCAGAGTAGTAAAAGTGATAATTTTCTTTCTGTAACAACCACAAACATGTTTAATGAGTCATATTTCATAACTTTAAATGCAAATATTAATTGTCAATTTTAAAATCATATGTACAAGTTTAGCAAACAGAGTTATTTGCAGCCATTTACCTTTTACCCTTTTTTAAATAACCATCCATCCATCCATCTTCATCCGCTTTATCCAAGGCCGGGTCGCGGGGGCAGCAGCCTACGCAGAGAAGCCCAGACCTACTACACACAATGGAAATGACACCAACTGTGCTATATGAAGTGAAAACATGCACAGTTACAGTTTCAGTGATGAAATATCTCAGGACAATAACTGACCTTGTTTCTGTCAGTGAGTTAAAACTGCAGGATTGTTCATCGCGGTTTAAAGCGAGCCTGGATGATCCAGAATAACATGAGAACTTAGATTTGATGGGCAGATTAATCCAGGTTAATGTTGAATGTGTGCTGTAGCCTGGGGTTACTTCAGCAGCAGCATGGAGATACTTGCTCAGTGATAACAACATTTTGTCGTGCCATAGTCCACTTTCACCTTCAGTGTTTTTCTTCTCATCCGTGCGATGCATTCATGGGATTCATGTAGCTGACCCACAGAGGAGGGAGCGTAGTCAGAGTAGCCTGTCGGTGTTCATGGTTAATGTTATATCACATAAACGAAAGGAGACATCGGCTGAAAGTCAAAGGTGATGATGCTGATTAGATTTGCTCACAGGTTTCTTGCTTTAAAGTGTGGAGGGGTCGGAAATCAGCCGTATATCTCATCACACATCTGCTTATATCTTCTTAAATCCAGTCGTCTAAACCCACAAAGAGCAGCACATAGTGCATAATAACAGACTGTACAACTATTATCTGACGTTTCCCCACAGTGCACATGTTTAAACTACCCAGTATCCTTGAACAGCCTCTGAATAACTAAAATATAATATTTCTGATGTGTGGAACTGCGATCAGATTTATGTAGCTTAGCTATTAATCGAGTGCTGATTAATAAGTAGCGCTCGAACAGTGTTTAAATCCACAAGTACTCACAGACCATATATGAAGATTTTGGCCAATGAAAATAGTCTTTCTCTACGTGGGCTAAGCCTCTGTTTTCAGAAAGTCTCCTAGTCTAGTTATACAGAAGAAGTCTGTAGGAAAACAGCGCTCAGCTCCACTGACCTGTGACCTCAGAAAACATCAGGGGTGTCCACCTCCAGGCCTCGAGGGCCGGTGTCCTGCAAGTTTTACATGTGTCCTTGATCCAACACAGCTGATTTAAATGGCTAAATGACCTCGTCAACATGTGACCCAGGGTGAGATCTAAAACCTGCAGGACACCGGCCCTCGAGGCCTGGAGGTGGACACCCCTGCTGTAGACACTCACGGTTGTACGTCTCTCCTGACATCTGTAGTTACTATAATTATTAACCTGTAGCCACTGATTTTTCAGTCCAGGTATTGTGTGATGTGGCGTACCTGAGCGGTTTCCTTTCCTTGTGAACGGCGTCTTGAAGCCACCTTTCCACTGAGACCAGCTGAGGCTCCAGTAAATAGTAGAAAGGCCAACTGAAGGGTCAGATGTGTCTTTCAGTCAGATTTTGAACTCTGCCGAGTTTTAAGCCATTTACTTTTTCACCTTGTTGCTCCAATTTCATGCTGTCGAATTGTGCAATCATTGACATTTTTCATAGATTCAACAAAATAAAATAGAACAATTATTTGTTTTTACTCACTAAACTACCTACAGATACAGTTTAAAATTGGCTCCTTGCTAAGTCGTCTGTTAGATTGAATCACAAAACTGGTTATTACTTTGATTTAAGTGCCTTTTTTATGTTTGATTGACTCATATACAGTGTTCAGTGTTTCAACAAACAAGTTAAAAAAAACCAAAAAAAACACTTTGTATAACTGAGTTTTTCCATATCCTCACCGTACTCTACAGGAGCCTGTATTTAACGCATGGTCTTTGCCTTTGAATTTGAACCTCCTAGGACCTGGTGCCCACATATGTGGACATCATATTTTGGGTTGTCCAGACAAAAATACTAAACTTTAAATTTAAATCCTTCATATGTGGATTCTATTTACCAAAAATCTGGTAATTCTTTGTTTTTACATTCATCAGGTCCCAGTCAGCCCAAATAGCAAAGAGAAATGTAAAAAGCAGAGGTGTGGACTCGAGTCATTAATTTTATGACTTTAGACTTGACTTGAAAAAATGTTCTAAGACTTGACTTGGACTTTTACACCAATGACCTGGGACTTGAACCTGTTTACTTGAAAAGACTTGATATTTCACCCCAAATCTAAAATTTAACACACATATTATGTAGAAAGTGTGCACCATTAATTCAATTCATTCATTCCAACCACACTCCGTACGCATGTGGGCGTGAGCTGTAGCACAGCCAATCAGACCTGAGACTTGAGACTTACTTGAGACTTGCAAAACAATGACTTGGTCCCACCTCTGTTAAAAAGCCATGAAAGAGTTCAGGTCCTAGGAGGTTGAATCAGGAGGGTCTGATTACTCAGCCCTGATCGTGACTCTGTAGTTGTAATTTTGTAAATATAAAAGTACAGTAAATATAGGTGTGCACATCCTGATTGTTTTCATGCTTTTGCTGCATATTAACATATTTAGATTTTGTTTTGCCGTCTCATCTGATCTGAATGTGTCCTGCAGCCACTGAAACACCCGCTGAGCCTCCACAGTGCGAGTAGCATTTAAAAACACACTAATCTTGTTGCCAGAGGCTGATGTCATTAGTCTGATCTGTGTAAATTCATTCAATAGTTCTGATGGATGTGAGAGGAAATGCATTTTTCTTTGTAACACCAGCTGACTCGCTCTATAAACCATATTAATAACCCTACTTGTCAGAAGCATTTCCTGTTCTTTTCATAATACCATATCAAATGTATATACATCTTATTCTACATGTTGAATGTCACCACTTGGATAGTCTTCTGTTATACAGACAATAGTAATGCCGTCATCACTGTTATCTGTGTCTTCGCCTTCATCGTGTCTTCGGCCCTGGCTGTGGGAGTCTACAAGATCTACCATCTGAAATGCATCAAGTCCAGAAACTAAACAGCCGCAGACGCTTAACAGAAGAGACGAGTCTGATGGAGCCGATCCACGTGTCGTATACTTTGGTATCAAGTTCATAAATAACATAATGACCTTTCTGACACATCTTAAAGATTTTTTTTTCCTTTTCAATTTTGACATCATAGTATAATTCTTTTTATAAACAGAAAAATTAAATACTAGCTTCCGTTAAATAAAAGCAAAAGTAAACATGGAAGTGTAGCAGAGGGTCTAAATACCTTTAGATGAAATGATTTGTTAACATTTTATTTTTGTGCTTTTACATTTGAAACTATTCTGTAGAAAAACTTCAACCCAGTGGATGACATCAAAGGTTCTTTTACAGCAAACTTGATACTTGTTACATGTTGTTACATTTATACAGTGATTTCCTGTTTGTACTAAAAATTCTTATAATATGCAGCGATTCTATCAGTAAATAACACTGAAATGATGTCAGTGAGTTCAGTTTTCAGGATGAGCCTAATTTATCTGCACAGATGACAAGTTGAGCTGAATTGAACAAATATGAGGAACGAAGTTTTCTGAAGTACAAACCAATGAAAGTTACAACTTACCTTTAAGCTGGAACACTGTGGTATCCTTACAAGGGAAATATTAAAGTTCTTACTTTGAAATGAAGTAAAAAGGACCAGTTTTACCATCCAGGCCCCTAAAACCCAAAATTAAAACCAGGGTCTCAAACTTACATGAGCTGCGGGCCACTGCTGACACTGCAGTCTCATTGGACGGTCGCTTTAGTGTTCAAGTAGTACAAAAAACAAGAAAACACAGAAATATTTCAGATTTTTTTTTTTTTTTAACATTTCAAATATCTCTTTAAGAACTTATTTATGGACCACAAGTAGGAGTGACATGGGCCACAAGTGGCCCCCAGGCCGCATGTTTGAGCCCTGTGACCTGTAGCTGTGCTTGTGTTTTTGCAGAGAAAGCACGTTTGTCACAATTGAAACCTTCTCCAAGAAAAACAAGACAAAAGGAAGAAAAATGACATTTGAAAGCTTTATTACATCGAGTTTGCGTACAAGGCGTGTCACGGGTATGTTTCTGACATGAAATATTCACTGAGAAAACTAAACTAACAAAACAATAAATATCAATTACCAGTACTTTGCATTGTGGCCGACACCTGGACTCAGATAAACAGGGCAAAGCTAAAAGAGGCACAGTGGAGCGCTGCGATGCATCAAGACAACACGAGCGCCGTGATGGTTAAAGTGACCGAGCGCTGTGTGAGGACCAACAGAAGATTTTAACAAAGTATTAACATTTGTTCCGCATCTGCGGCGCTCTGCTGCTGTTAGAAATGCACTTTAACATAAATGATCAGGTGCCTTAGTTAGATATGCTTCAAAGAAAAAGCATAAAATGCCCTAAAACACTGAGCGTAGGAATTCTGTATAGCATCAAAGCAAAATATTTAATAAAAATAGTGCCACAGCTCCTTTAAAAACTCTAAAATACTGCAATGTTTTGGTGCTACACAGACGAGATTAACAGGACTGCAGGTGAAGATGATGAAAATTTAAGAGAGCAGAAACACTTTTATCGCCATGGGAACGTAAAACAACGAAGGAACAAAATCTAGGACGAGGTGAACGGCAGCAAACACAAACTGCAAACACTGCGTTTGCAAGTATCAGACAAATAACTGCAACATTTTCTGTGAACACAAAAGAACCTGCGCTGCCTCGGACCTGGAAGCTCGGACTTCGTATGTTGACAAAAACAAACATTAGAAACAGAGGACGTGTGAGTTTACAGGGTCTGACGTAGAGCTGGGCGATATGAGATTTTTTCATATCACGATATTTTTTTTTTCATTTCAGGCGATAACGATATCTATCACGATATAAGCCAAATAACTATATTTGTAAGATTTAAATGTGCCGTTGCTCACAAGTAAAATGTGAAATAATCATCAGCTTGTTTTTATTTAAATATTTATTTCCCATAATAAGTTCAACAGGGTAGATGTACTTAAGGAACATGAGACTTTTTCAGATAAATAAAGGCAAATATTGCAAACTACACAAAAGGCAGCCGCTAAAGCGTTTAAGTTTCAAAATAGAACAAACGAAACAGACTAAATTGTCAATTCCACTTAGAAACAAAATATTAATTCTAAAAATAAATCTTAGTTTGTTTTACAGAAGAACAGACAAAACTGACTAACTTTTGTCAATATCAAATAAACTGAGAACTAAAAGGAAATTCTCAATCTCTCCTTGTTGTATAGCTGAGCTTTTCAAACAGTTTTAACAGTTACTTTAGTCTGACAAAAGCCGAATGACGAATTAGCGCTTCCAGTCAGAGACTGAGGCTACGTCCACACGTACACGGGTATTTTTGAAAACGGAGATTTTCCGTTTTCATTTTAAAAAATAATCCCGTCCACACATAAAGGCAGAAATGAAGGAAAACGCTGCTATGAACATGCCAAAGCAGCAGGTGGCGCTAGATTCCTAACCGTGCAGAAATGTTGGCCAATCAGAAGTCTAGAAGCCTCGGTGGGAAAAAGTAAACAAAGCTGGGGCATAGAAGCAGAACCGAGTCGTATGTGTGGAGGGACAGTAACTGTGTGTATATGTAAGCATTTAAACACTGCAGAGAGTAGAATTAACAGTATTGTAGAAATTCATTTCACCGAAACAATAACGTGGCGCACAGTGTGACGCATGCACCAGTTTATTGTATTTCCAGACTTGCTTTCGACACATTTACAGTGCACGCTACTCTGTTTTTTGTCAGACTTGAAATAGCTGAAATACCTTCACACTACGGAACTTCTTTGGCTCTTCCGTTCGACAATCTCTCCGGCATTGGAACCATCATCTGTTTTCTCTTCGGTCACGCTCGGTTGATTTTTCTAGTCGGCACACTCATTTCCTCCATTACCCGCTGGCTGCTTCCCAAACAAACACACGTGCGGCTTGGCACTTGTGCTGTACGTGTAACAAGTCACGCGACGTGACGCTGCGGCTGTGATTGGTTCGGCTCTGCGCTACTTAATTTGGATCGGCTGACCTTTTTTTTTTTCTTTTTTTTTTTTAAGAGGACAAGAGCGGCGAGGTCTATCGCGATAGCTTAATTTCTCTATCGAGTAAAAGTTATATCGCGATACATATCGTTATCGTTCTATCGCCCAGCTCTAGTCTGACGCTAACGTGTAAGACACTGAAATAAAGCAGCGTCGAACCTCGTTTACAGGCTACACCTTCGCTGTATCGTCGCTGTCGTTACGTAAACCACTTCCTGTTTCTATTTAAGTCGTCTGCCTCTAAAGGCACAAACGGATCATTTTAATGGTTTCCTTTGTTATTCTTTGGTGGTGTTTATTTCCAGGTACAGTACAACTAAATGTTTCCCCCTCAGTACAAATTGGTAAAGCATAGAAATCATAAAGATGCTCTCCCACATATAAACCGTCTCCTCTCCTCTGATTGGCTGTTACCTGTGCTGTACTTTTAGCATGGATCAGTAACTTCTCATTTGTTACATAAAAGACACACGCACTGCAACTTACACAGCAGCATTAACGCAGTTTTGTGTAGCTAATCTACTTTTCTGATGGCTCGGACACAAACGAAACTCTGCAGCTGCAGTTCATCTCTCGTTAGTTCAGTCATGGAGGGAACCGTGTTGGTATCGTGAGGACGTGAACGTCACATGTAACACTGCTGCTGTTACAGTTTCTTTGCCTGCTCGGCTCTCAGAAAAGACACACTGTGATATTTTCAAAGACAATACATGGGCGTCACAATGACTTACATTCAAAGTGTTGTGGAGACATTTGCTCGTGTCCCCCTAGCACAGCTGTAGTCTACCCTCTAAACGATCCTTCCTTTTCTAATACATTCATTAGACATGATCACCCTGCCAGCCTTCCAGTACCAGGGTAAAAAGTGCAACACAACAACACTTCAACCGCAATTAGACTCTGCAGAGTTGCTGTCAATGAGCGAACGTCTCTTCGCTCCATTTTTAGACACTAATTTTATTTTTTGTGCCATCTGAGGCGACTGTAGGTCATCGAGAGCTTTCGAGGTCAAATTTAATGATATTTTGCACTGATCGACTGTTGACTGAACATTGCGCCCACCTCTTTCCAGTACCTCTGCTTTAGCAGTACGTATACTGAGAAACAGTCTGACATGAGCAGAATGACGTGTTTGAAAGCCATAGCGACACATCGGTGAGATACAATACACATTAAAGTCTAGGAAAGGAGCTGCACTGGTAATATAATATATTCTTTACTCGAGGGGAGAAAAGGTTACAGACTGAACGAGCACTCTGAAAATTAAAAAACGTGTTACTATTGATGACAAGAAACTGGAGCAAGTTTTCTATTAATGAAGACGGACGAGTCCAGCTTGAAAAGCAAGAAGGTCGTGGACAGGAGTTCTGCAAGGCATAGTGTGCGTAACTCTGGGCTTAGCTGCCCTGCGTCATGCTCTGCATGTGTTTGGCAATGTCATACACGTAGGTGATGTCCGGCCTCTTCTCCGGGTCCGGGTTGATGCACATATCTACCAATTTCCTCAGCTGGTGGCGCGGACGGGACAAAAAGAAGAGAAACATTGTCAGAGATGCAGTGAAACAAGATCACACAGGAATTTAGAAGAGCAGCTCTAGACAAATCTAACAGTTGCTAACAGCGCCCTCTAGGTGACCTCTCCCGTCATAGCAACAACAACAGAGCAACAGGTAAGCCGACTGAGACGGAGGCGCGTGGCTGGGGTAGCGCGCTAATCATTTATTGGTCTGCTGAATCCACTGTTACCTGAGCACACCCCCCATATGCACGCACACGCGCGTGCACACGCACACAGCTGCCACTCCGCTGCCATCCGGAGACAGCGCTTCCACTTGAAGCGGTGCGCGGTGGCTGATTGGAGCAGATAGACAGGCTCGCAGGCGGAACAGCCACCGCCATCATTAAAAAAAAAAAAAAAAAGATAATAAAAGACGAGGAAAGAAAGGGGGGAAAAAAAACATCTACATGAGGTCGCTATGGTAACCGTCTGCCGACTTCCCGGCCGCTGTTGCGCGGGCTCGGGCGAGTTTTGTGTATCGGCGCGCGAGCGTGCGTGTGAGCGAGAGGTGAGGCAAAGATGCAAATTCAGACAGTCTGAGAATTAGTCGCACAGAATGGAGATGGGGAGGGCGCCGAGATGCAGATATGTAAAATATTCATGTGCGTGTGGGGGGTGGCGGAGCTGGCGAAGGGAGGCGTGTGTGTGGTGGGGGGAGCATAGATGGAGATGGTTAAATGACACAACAAAGATGAGCAGCTGACAGTTTGCTGCCGATCCTTCAGGAGCATTGTTTACATCCAGACAGGCGCTGCAGGCACCCCCCTCATCTCCATCTCTCCATCGCCCTGTCTCTCGCTCCATCATTCCCTCTCTCCTGCGCTTTGTCTTCCTTTCTCCTGGATGGGGGTGACATGTGGGGCAACGCAGAGGCTCAGCGTGGCGCTCGTGTGTGTGGAAAGAGCTCATGTAACAAATATACACTTGCAAGAACTAAAACACTCACACACACACACAGAGCAACCACAGAGGCTTAAAACACCTCACAATTAGCCTTTATCAGGCTAATGAGGTAAATACCAGAGTAAAACAAAAGCCTCTCTCTGCAGGGTAAACGAGCTCACTGGAGACACGAACAGCCATTTAAAATGAGCCACTGCAGACACACTGGCTACAGATCGGCGGCACTAAAGGTAAAAACCACATCGGCGTGCTTTAAAGTCATACCTGACCATGATGGTTCATACAGTTTATTAAACATATCTGAACTGCAAACTCAAACCTAAACCACAAGGTTAGCTGTGGGGTGATGTCAGTTTGCAGTAGTTTCAATAGCACCAGGCCTCAAACATGATAAAGCGCGACGGCATTCTTGACTTTAATCAGATATGAGGCAACTTTTTTTAAACAGTGCAAATCTAATAAATGTGCCAATAACCGAAAAAGGTTCCAATACCTACACGTGCACGTGCGCCTGTGACTCAGCCTATGAGCATTTCACTACACGCATTTAAAAGAAACAGACGGGGGAAACGCCACCCACACAAAGAGGGCACGCAAACAGAAAAACACGCAGATTCATGCACATGTCAGCACTAATCAGCAATAAGGTGATCTTTAACCGCAGCCCGGCTGCATTACGTTTCTGCGCACGGATCAGTCTTCGCAGAATTACGGCAGACGATTTAACGTTGACTAAAGGAAACGTGACACTCTGGCACATTTGGTTTCACCCCACCGTCGAGCGCGGCCAGATGCTTTTGATACGCGCGGCTAAAATCGTATCCAGCCTTCTGATCACAGTCCTGTGCTGCAGCTCAGGCAGACGGGTGGATTTCACCGACATAAAAATATAATTTAAGTGTTCGATATAAGTAAAAGGAAAGTGGCATCAAGAGAAAGAGACAGGGATTTGTATTAAAGACTATGGCGGCTGCTTTACAAACACTGAACAAGTCTATATTTATTCTGTTCCTGAGAAGTAAAAGGCAGCTGATACGAGTACTTACCTCCTCTGAATAGTGATCTGAGGGAAGAGGGGGGTAGTCACACTGTTCTATCTTCTTACAAAGTGAGTAGAGGTTCATCTTATCCCCATAGAACGGACTCTGTAAGGCTGCCATCTGAAGCACAGACATAAGAAGACGTGGAGAGAGACAGAAAGTGGGAAAAAGACAAGAGCAGTCAGTGAGTGAAGTTAAAACGGGAAGTAAAACACCCAATCAAGCTCTCAACAGGTGGCAGGCAGACGGCTCTGCACCCTGTGCTAACAGTAGAGTCTGCAGCTCTGCTATTGACGTGCATCCTATTGATTATTATGGGGATTGGGTGCAGGAAGACAACAAGTCAATATGTAGAGCTTTGTGTACATATCAGCACATCCCGGTCTAAACTTCAGCCGAACCAAAACAAAACAAATCCACTGGAAGCTTCTCGCTGCAGGCTGGTGGACTTTCCTGCGATGCTGACGATGCGCTGCCAGACGAGTACGTATATTTTCTAGAAAACAAACGCAAGCGAGCAGAGCAGAGGCAGGGCAAATGGGAACGAGCAGGAAGAAGGGAAAGCGCATGGAAACCTTTGTGAGTGGAAGGAGGTGAAGGATCCTCGCTGCCTTTCTAAGAATAATGAAAGACGCACGCCATCTTTCCCAGACTCGGTGACTGACTCACTTCCTCTTGTAGAAAGGTGAAGCCTGCAGCACACTTGCATAACAAGCAGCCGCCAAATGCTTACTGTTTTTCTGATTCAGTGCTTTCAAAAACAAGCAGCGTGTAAGTGCTCGGTCATTATCACTGCTGTGTGTGAGAAAGTGCTCAGAGCTTCCTTTTTATTCACGCACCAAAAACACATTAAATAGGAAATTGTGAGTTGCAGTAAGAGTACAATCAAAGTCGAATCACTCCTGGGTGATCTCGTGATCTGTACAGTCTATTTGTGAGAAACACTTCTCTCTTCGATTTGTTTGCTACCTGCAGGCTGCCGATCATGTGTCTGTAACAAAACTAGTGACCGGTACGTGAGCTTATTCCAAACTTCAGAAAAGCAGCTGGAAAGAAGAGCGGGCCAATCAGTGGGAAGATTACACCTTACTATTTGAAGCGTTGCTCAGGTGTCCCTCGGAGAAAGTACAGTGTGTGTTTGACAATCTGCTAATTGGTAGCGTGAAAACAGATGAGAACAAAGTCTCCATACGAGAATCCAAATGCAAAGCTTCCACACAGAGTACAGCAGGTTAGTGAGAATACACCACCTTCAGCAAAATGAGAAGCTGCAGAGGAAAATATGTCTGTGTGAATCGGACCGACAAAGAGAAAGGAGGAAGTGTTTGAGGTAAAAGAATAAAGAGGCCATCTAGTGTCACACACAAACTCATTGGATTATTTCAGCTTCCTCACAGACTATTTTTCTGTCTTCATCAGCTAACACGTACAGTCGAGCGCTGCAGAGACAAGAAAACAGTCGTGCCTAGTGTGCTGGTGTTTCTAATGCACCAGTACAAAGTAGCTGGTTTAATCATGGCTGCCTTCAATGAAACGTTTCAAATTTAGAGCAAAGAAAACACGTTTCCCATCAGCCAGATCTCGGCTGTCCAAGCCCGCGGAGGGAAATCAAGACGACGGCAGCAGCGTTTACAATCGTGTTAATTATTACATGAATGCTGTTCATTAGGGCTGGGCTATATCATACCGCTCACGGTAATACCGGTGTGATGTTGGGCAACGATAAGAAAATGAAATATCGCGATAGACTATGGGTAAAACGCGCATGCGCAGTGCCTTTGTTTACATACACACATGACGGCGACGCAGAATGAGAAGAGCGAAAGCGGATCGTTGAATGAAACAGATGAACCTGAACTGGTTTGTAAAAATGCTGCAGCTTCACTGGTGTGGAACTGGTTTAGCTTTCGTCCGTCAGATACACAACAAAGCACTATTTTTGGTAGCGCATGCTAGCGGGCCGTCGTTATTACCATGTTGTTTGGAAAATACGGCGCACTTAAAATCAATCCTTTGATTTGTCTGAAAGTCGACAGAGCCCCTTATAATCCCGTGTGCCTTATGTATGAACTCTGGTTGTGTTTACTGACCTCGGAACGATTTTATGTACATGGCGCTCAAAAATCTGTCAAATGTTTCAGTACGACTTTGCTAAGCTACGAAGCCGCACCGCTTGATGGATTGTCGGAGCATTACAGCTATTGTAGGCGGAGCCTCGCGGAGTGATACGTACTGTGCTTCAACATAATGTTACCGTACTGTGTGTGTATAACCTCTTTAAGTTCTGTGGATATTATACATGGTTATGCTGAGGATGTGTCAGCCAGTTTCCACTGAAAATGCCTTTTGGTTAAACTGTCAGCGAGGAATTTGCACTGTTAAATTTTTATATAACTTTAATGCAGATAAAAAACAGCTGCTTGTGTAAGTGAAAATACATTGATGTGTTTTTTTTGCACTAATAAAGTTGAGGAGTTGTAAAGTATTTTGTCTAGTGTCAATTATATCGTCAGTTATATCGTTATCGCAAATTTTCAAATGTATATCGTGATAAATATTTTTGGTCGCCCTGCTCTGCTGTTCATGCTCACAAAACACATCCAGTGAAAGAGAATCTCCCTCTGTTGTCTGTGAACACCTCTCTGCCTCGACTGCAAGACCAGCAGCTGACAGCTGAATATTCATGCACGTCATCAATGATGCACTTCTGTTATTAACAAAGTCACAATTTAAAACCTGATCCTGTCGTTACCAAGGCGAGCAGAAGCAGCCGTGTGCACACTCACAGGACGACTGAAGGATGCTAAATGTTACACAGCTGATTAGCACACGCGTGGACTCAACAAAAACAAGTAATACTGGTGAACGTTTGCACAAAAGCACCTTCCCACATAGATGGTGCTCCACATTTAACACACACACACACACACACAGTACTACATTTAAAAAGCCATTAACACAGGCGGCAACAAGTTAAGGTATTATTATTCCAACATGTTAATTACTCAGTGTGCTATAGCTATGGACCCTTATTTAACATGCATTTCCATAGACAACAGCTCACTACCTGCAATTAAATGACCATCTAATTAGTCATTCATTGCAGCTTGTAAATAAATCATCTGCCCAACAAGGCTGCTGAACCTATGAGTCATTTGCCACCAAGGTCAGTGGACATCTTGCCCTTTCATTTCAGAATCCAATCACTTTTGAATAACCACAGTCGATACCTGAAAATGCCAAAGCTCGCAGTGTTAGGCGCTCTGCTCACTCCCATGTTAAAAAACAACAACAAGACAAAAACAGAAAAAGACTTTTTTTTGACAAAGATCATCATCATTACTCGATTCATTTCTACATGTAAAAATACACATTTCTGTCCATGTTCAGGTTTCATATTTTGAGGTATCCATGTAAGAATTAGCGGTTTCCAAAAATCCAGATTTCCCAATTAGCGAGTGAGACGGAGGGAGAGAAAGGGAGAAAAAAGAAGAGCTGCACTCCACACAGCAGCGTGTGAAGGGTTAAACAAGACCCCATCGTATTTTCATGCATCTTCTGCTTTTGACAGATGAAAAATGTCAACTGTCCTGTTTGTATTTGGGAGTTTTTGCACTATTCATCTGCTTCATTAGTGCCTGCTGCTCCTAGCCCCTGACAGCTGCCGGCCCCCTGCTCACACACACACACACACACCATAAAGATGCATACCCACACACACACAAACAAACACACACTCACTCCTTTTTTCAGACTGTGTCGTCGCAACGGTTTAGATGATTGACTCACTCTCTGACCCCTGAGCCCCCGGTGTGTGTGCGCGATTGTGTGTGTATGCTTCATTGATATTCGAGAGACATACAATGCACACGCATGCCTGCTGTCTGTCTGAGGGCTGTGAGCTGCTGGTGGCAGAACACACGCGCACGTAGGTTTGTGCTTCTATATTTGTGAGGACCATCGCTGACACGATGCACTTCCCAGCCCCTCGTCCTGAAATGTAACATCACGGCTTCACAGGGAAACCCCAATGCAAACCACCACCTTAGCTGATTTATATCCTAACTCTAAACCAACTCGTAACCCTCGAGCAGCTGTTTCAAAGTCTATCATAAAGTAATGACCATCAGAACAGCCTCACGTCAAACGTTCCCACTCTGCTCTGCATTAGGCCAGGTCATGTATAGGTAGCATCCCTCCCTAAAAGGTCTGCATAGGGCCTTCCAGTGTAATTAACATTGATCTCACACGCTCGCTCTCCAGCTCCTCTCCCTGTACACCAATTAAAGGAGCTGCGTGAGACTCCCGCCTCCCCCCTCCCAACCACCTCCATCCCTCGAGTCTTAACGGCCTGAGACTAAAGAGCTCCTCACAAACCCTCAGTTATAAATAAAAATACACATCGAACCATAAATGTATCAAAATAAAAACTATATTTGTGTTTTCATCCTCTCTCTTTCTCACATATGCACCTACACGCCTGCAGCACTAGTTTGGTTTCACATCACAATGTCAGGCCTGCCTTTAGACACTGTGTGTGTGTGTCTGTGTGTGTGTGTGATCGACTGCCTAATTAAAATCTACAAATAATATTTTGTTAATAAAGTTTGACAGATAAGCAGGTAGAGCCACTTTTATTCATGCTTCAGTCGCAGCCCGAGAGTAAACGAGGAGCTTCAACAACACAGAAAAAAGCCTTTAAAACCAGAAATCTCTGTTTCTGCCACACAGAGGGTTAACCACAGCTCATCACATGCAAACGCCAGCTGCTCAGAGGACCCGGCATTTTTGGGCCTCGTAAAAGCTCCAGCAAAACAAGAGGGGAGGGGGCGTGGGCACAGTCAGAGGTACGGATGGTTACGCTTCATACAGGAAGGAGACGCATTCCAGTAAAACTTCTTGACATATTCTCCTCCTCCAACTTTAAGACCAAAACAGAAACCGCAAGAGATCTATGCAAGCAGGCGACCCACAGTGCGTGTGTGTGTGAGTTTGTGCGAGTGCGTGAGTGTGAGTGTGTGTGTGTGGTACTGATTCAAGTATGAGGTGGTTTCGACTGTAACGAGCGCTAGCAGACAGCAGTCTCATTGCCTGCCCTGCAACCATGTGACCATGTCGCCGTGGGAGACAACCCAGCTGAGCGTCCCCGTTTACGGCGGTGTCGGCGGTTTGGGCGGAAGGCACGGGTCCAGATGATGTAATGAAGTTGGACACAACAAGAAGGGGATCAAACAGAATGGGAGATGAAGACGGACGCAGATACAATGACCAGGTATTGACGTGCGGCCCCCTGGACCCGAACTTAACCCCCAGGCACGAGGATGAAAAACGCAGGCTCTCTCAAACTCCCTGGGTTACAAACGCACGCGCGCTCGCGGACGCACGCGCTCAGAAACCAGCGCGATCCTCCTATTGTAGTGAAATCAATGAGCACCGAAGGGATCAGGCGTGGATTTCTGTGTGAATTCCTTATGCCTGAAGGTTAAGTGAGGAAAAGGAAGACATTCGGAGAAAGCTGAAGATGTGAGCAAAGAGGAATGGAGAAGAGAGTTTTGGAGAGAGGCAAGTTTCCAGACAACGAATGCACCGCGGAGCCCTCTCAGTAAGAACAGTGCAAGGCGAGAGGCTGCTCTTCAAAGAGAATATGCATGGCGTGGTGAGCGCTGCTCTGGTAACAATAAGCTTGTAAAATCTTTATCTCCACAGGCACCTTGCATGGCTCACCTTGACCTGATGGCTGGAGTTCTGTCTTTGCTCTTGTACCTGCAGTACTTTCTCTCTGAATGAGCACCCCCCATCCTTCTCCTCGCTCCAGCAATCTACTTCCCCGCTCTCGCTTTTTTCCTCTTTCACTTCTTCCCCTCTGCTCCCAAACCTTCCATCTCCTCTCTTTTCATTCACTCTTATGGCTCCTGCCTATTCCCCCACCCTTCTCCAGCTTCCTATATTGTTCATATATAGATTCCTAAACTTTTTCACCCTCCATCTTTCTTCCTTGCCTTCTGGCTTACTCAAAGAGAAACAGTCTCATCCATTTTTCACTTTTGCTCTCGAGCTCACTCCCAGATTCTCCTCATCTCTGGTCTCCATCGTACTTTCTCTGCATTTGGTCTAGACTGTGACGCCAGTGAAATGCATGAAAGATCAAAGTGCTGTGTGCCAGCTAAAAGTGGAAAACAATCGATGCAGCACATGATGAAAGTTTTAACAAATGGACAGACAGCGGCCTGCTGGAAAATGTTAATGTAACACCAAAGTCTGATGTGTAAAGAGTAAAGGCTGGGACTGTTGTAGGCGTGCCAGACCCAGTGCAGCCCAGCTGTTTTCTTAACAGTAACAGGAGCGGCTTCCATGCAAGCAATCACACAAACACACAGAAACACTGAGTGTGACCTACAGCATCCACATCCTTCAACCAACCACAGACGTGCGCTGCCGCAGTGCATTGTGGGGAGCTAATTAGCATGAAGGACTGTGGTCTCTGAGCAACCATGACCTGCAAGCTGAGCTCAAACTTCTTCCTTACGCGTTCTCCACCTCTGTGCCTGAGGCGCTTTAGAGAAGGTGTAGTCACTGGTGCGTTGAAATGCAGCCCAAATGATCAGCAGCTCAGGGGAATCGGGAGAGACGAGGGGAGGAAAATGTGGGCATTTCCTCAGCCCGCAGTGTGTTTCTGACTTTGTGCCCGGCCGTGTGTGTCTGCGCGGGAACGCCGGCGAGCTGCGATGTCAGATTGACTGCTATCATCCGTGTCTATCATCGTTCTGCTCCTCACTCCTTTCCCTTTGTTCCCTCTGTGTGTGCTCCTCCCGGGCTTGTCTCCACTCAGTGTGGTCTACAGCAGCGCCCTGTGGTGGTTTGCTCCCGACTAATCAAACTAGTCAGTGTCACCGGAAAGCTTCATCTAAAACACATGGCCATGTCAGTTCCCTTCACTCAGCAGACTCTCAATGTTTAGCAGGTCTACAGAACAGACTGCGAGGCCTGAACGAGCCGCGATCAGACGAGAGGAAAACAACAGCGACAGAACATCTAGAAGATAATATCACTAACGAAGCGTGCGTGTTTGTATTTTTCCCATTACTGCTTGTGTGTACATATCTTCATGCACGACAATGGATGAGAACGGGTTGTTTACACGTGTCAGCTCATGTGTTCTCGTGTCACTCCTACCGTCGAGTGCGAGGTGACAGTGTGTGCACGCGTTCCCAGTTTACCTCATAGAGCAGGCATCCTAGCGACCAGATGTCAGATTTGAAGTTGTAGCCGTTTTCATGTATCCTCTCCGGTGACATGTAGTAAGGAGTACCCACTGGAACATGGTGGAAGGAGGGAGGGGGGAGAGAAGTGGACGAAACAGGAAACAGGACAAAAACAAAATGAGCGTTAACATTTTGCAAACCTGTTTCTCCTCCACATCAACAACGACACCCACACGGCTCACACGGTGATGGAGCTTCAACGTGTTTTTATAACAAAGTGTGTCGTCTGTGTCATTTTGAAATAAGCTTGGATGTGAGGTCACATATCAGCACACATACCAGGACCATGCATGCAAGTTCAAGACAACACAAAGCTGTGTACACACACACACACACACACACACACACACACACACACACACACCATTTATCAATCACTTTTGATTACTGGGGCTCCGTAATGATCTGAAACAGCAGTCAGAGGATACGCCCGGGGAGCGGTCGGCCCGTTTCTGGTTTTGAAACTCAAGAATCCCAAACTGCCACAGCGAATGGCAGCGCTCCAGGAAATCAGACCGTCAGCCAACTGGACACAACCAGGAGCCGCAGCTTGGCATACAGTCGTGACTCTGCAGGATGAGTTTGATGCAAGCTTTGATTTTTTTCATCTGCTTTCTGTTTATTGTGATTTCCCATGTAAAAGTCTACCAAGCACACCAGCAGAGGCTTTTTATTAGTCACATATAAAAGATGGAAATTTCACCAGCACCATAACCTGCTGAAAACACCTCAGATCATGTGAATAAAGTTAAAGATAAACAGCTAAATATGCTCAATAATAATCAACATTAGCTTGAATGCATTTTAGGCTCCACGCTGATTATTAACCTGACACTAAGCGGTTATTTTGTATCAGGCTTTATTACTTCAGTGGTCAGTTTTTAACTTTTACTTATAAGTCAATTCACGCACTGTAATCGATGTTTCCTCTAAGCCCAGATTTTGGCACACCTCTGCAAAGCGTGATTTTAGCTTTAGTCTTGTAACTAATGTGACGACAGCGCTTCAGAATAACATCACTAGTTAAACAAAAACGCTTCCTGCTGAGTCATGAATCCTCTTAGAAAATAATGTCATCACTCAGAAAATCCTCTGAGATCAGAACAAAGTCAAACGGGCTCTAGATGCTGGAGATATGAACCCTTTGATTTTTGTTAAGGAGCATCAATGAGAGAAGGAACATTTATTTATTGCAACAGGCTGCTCTGATCCTAAAACAAGACTGCAGAAGCACCTTTTTGTTATCCTCCTCTCTCGCAGTTGTTTGATTTAGTGAAGCCAAAAAAACCAAAAACATATAACCTGGTTCAGTATGTTAAACTTCAGTCCAAGCCCCGCCTCATTTAACTTTCTTATTCTGAGGTGTAACCAATAGAATTAAATCTTAAACATTATGTGATGTTACAGACTGACTGAAATCATTGCAGGAGTGTTTTTATGGCTCCGAAACACACAAAAAGTATTAATTAAATGGGGTGGTGTTTCTTCTTTGTTTGTTTGATCCAAACCTGATCAGTCTTGCCTCAAGCACATAAACAAAACGTGTCACGGGAAACGTGCAGAGCCGGGAGTAAGAGTTTTTATGGACTTGTTGAGTTTAAAATACACACAAACGCTGAGGGAAGCTGGGAGGGCGGGAACGGCTCTCGAGCGGAAAGAACTCGGGAGAAACGTCAGCCTGCGTGAAAACGTAACTGCCGTCTTAGCGCTCTCTTACGCTGGCGTGCGGGGCTATTCTGCACATTAACAGGTCTGAGGAAGCTCGAATCCTGTAACTGCATTTAATAAAACTATTACAGAGGGGGCATTAGATTTGAAGTCTGTGGGAACTGAAATGACGGCTTTAATTTCGATGCAGATCTAATTGGGTTGAGAAAACGTGTTTTTCTGTTAAATGTGTGATTGTGAATAATGAAGTGTTACCTGTCAGTCCGAAAATAATCAGCATCGGCAGAGAAGAAGCCAGAGAGCCAGTGGAAGAATACATGATACTGGGAATGGCTGTTTTAATTGGTCATCAGGTTGTGTGTGTGTGTGTGAGGTCTGAACAGGCTCCCTTAACATTCATTATTAGTTGATTAAAAAGAATGAGCTTCTCTTATGCTAATAGTGGCATAAAAAAGGCAGCGGCGGTGGCTCGGCTCCTTCAGCAAGCTGAATTAAGGCCACATTACTTATTCATGCAAATAAATTGAAAGTCATGTTGGGATTGATTTCCATTATTGTGAATAGCAATGACAACACTGTATTCTCTGCCTAACAGGATAAGTGTTGTATAGGAGGTGAGAAGCCATCCACAATAAAGCCCGTGCACTCGTGAATCTGCTGCAAATGTAACCAAAGCTCGTCCCCTTTTAGATACAACTATTGATTAGACTGCACTCACTGTAGCTTGTAACACTGTCATATTAATGCTAAGTAAAGCATTTACATTACCAGGGTAACCCTCCTCTAATCTGTGTGCCGCTCCAAAGCTATCGCTGCGTTTCTCATTAGCAGCCGTTCTGAACCAACCCCACACCAGTGAACCCTTTATGGTTTTCTTTGCATTTATATTATGCCTCTGTGTTTATGCCCGCTTTAACCAACATAACCAAGGCTTTAACGCGTAAAATCCCAAAATCATTTCCAACATCGACCTATGCGATCCTCCCCTTCTGTTTTTTCCTTTTCCTCGTTCACCCCCAGAACTCATCGTTAACACCTTTCTCATTACAGGTGTTAATTACAGGTATATTATATTACTGCCAATTGGCAGTAATAAGTAGTTATTCACTTCCTCTTCCCAGTCCTGCTCTTTCTTTCAATCGTTTTCTTGCTTAAATGCAAGTATCCACCTTAAATCTAAGTAACTCAGCAGCTCGGTGTTCTTAATACTGATTTGATTTTTTTGGTTGGTATTATATCTGGAAGTTTGGATACTGTGCACATTAATGTGCACGCACATTGCAAATTTCTGCATGATTATCTACCTCTGCATGAGCGTGTGCATAAATTCAGACCGTATGAATGTGCATCTGTGTGCACAGACACATCCATACATGAGACAAAAAGACTGTCTCTCTCAGCGTGGGCAAGAGTGTAAAGAGAAAATGTGTGTGTGTGTGTGTGTGTGTGTGTGTGTGTGTGTGTGTGTGTGTGTGTGTAGGGGGGGGGGGGGGGGGGGTGTCTGCAGCTGACTTGAAAGCCTAGGAGCTGACAGGCTGTATGCCTGGACCTCCATCTCAGCTCCACCGCCCTGCTCTACTGTTCAGCTGTGTGGCTGGGCTCATTACATACCCACGCGATTGCGCGCACACACACAGACACACACACCTCTTCCTCACAGTTTTTCTTTCCATCCTTCTTTCTCGCGTTCCTTCTTCTCCTCCATTTTTCCTGTCACTTTTGTCATATTCTGCTCTTACTCTGCTCCTACTAACTTTTCTTTCCTTTTTCTCCTCTTCTTCTGTCACTCTGTCACACTCTTCTCTAACACCTGGGACATCTACACTTCTTTTTCTGTTTCTTTGTCACCCTTTCTTCATTTCTTATGCTTTTTTCCTTTTGTGACATTTTGCTTTCTCCTCTCTTTCTCACTTCACTCTTTCAGTATTGGTTCCCTTCTACTCTCAGATTCTGGTATCCTCGCACCTTCTCCATCTCTCTCCTTCACCTACACCTTCATCCTTATTTGACTAAAGTCAAAGCACCAGAGGGAGGGATGGAGAAAAGCTATAGCCAGAGAGGTGGCAAAGAAAGAGAGGAGACAGCACGACACGCTCCTAGTCCTTAATGTGGGCAGGTCTCACTAACCTATAGACGCTACACGCCTCTATAGAACGAGATCATACATAAATATCTGCATGTGTGCAATTAATCATTCAAACATCTCACATGTATCCTTCACAAGCTTATTCAAATTCATGGAAGACCATGAGGCAGCCCTGGAGAGATGGAACTAAATATATTTATGCCAAGGTTTGATTTAATTTAGTTTTGTTGTTTACTGCACTTTGTATGAACTTTAATTAATAATATTATAGAATTAACAAAAAAACATTATAAAAATATTATTTGCATACTTAAATCTAAAGAAATATGTTAATAGTATCAGATTAATGGGGGTATTCAAGTTGACCCCTCTGCTTGTCCTCTGTCGGCCTAAAGAGGGCGCTGTGGACTCAGCATTTAATGAGCAATCACAGGCGCTTTCACCCCGCTCTGCAGGCACTGCAGCTGATAGGGCTTCTGTTGACTTGATCATGTGATTCACACTTTCTCAAAGGCTGAGCCGCTGCTGTACGAGGCTGAGAATAGCACGCTGTTTGTGGTAATAACAGTCTGACATAGGGAAGTGAGACGGTGTGAACGGCAGTACTTATATTTGTCCAAGGAATTCTTCTTTTTTCCTACTTTTTCCAATCTATGAAGTATCTGAAATTGCCCAGGGGATACTGGATAGCATCTTCATGTACCGCAGAAAGGCCAAGTTATAACCAGTGTTCCCGATCAATGATCAGTAACACGTTTTATTATATTTTTCTGGGCATTCGACTATTTCACTAAAGCAGTGCAACACATCACTTGACCATTTTAATACAGAACATGCAGAAAAAGGACGGACAAGCACAACAAAGAACACACGTGCAGTTTCTGGGCTATATTTCTAAAACACTCAATAAAGTATCTAAAATCATTTGCATGAAATAAGCAGCTGTCGCTTATTTGTATGTGCTGTTGCTAAGATGCTGCGTTTAAACACCACAACAAAAAATGGGAATTTTGTATGACTTTTAACCAATAATTATTCTAAAAAAGAGAATTTTTTTCTTACTTGGGGAAGATTGCCAGCATGCCTCTGTGTCTATACTAAAATAGAGACTTTATTAAACACACTCAGCACAATGCTGTCCTCTCTCCTGTTGACATGTTCCAGATTTAAAATAGTGACGCATCTGTTCATGAAGTCTATTACACACAAAGAGGAGACGGACTAAAAACACCAAACAGTGCAGAAAACTAATAACTTGAATGCAAAGAATCTTTTTTGTGCTAAAAACCAAACTATTGGCCGTCAGGTCATCCCAACATCGTGCTGTTCCTTAACAATAAAAACTATTGCACTGACTGCAGTCATGTGGCTATATGATATGTCACATTTTAAAATTAACCAAATGGACAAAGACCTAATTACTGCGGCGGCTTCAATGACAGTTCCTGAAACAAAAATAACGCAGTTTTATTTCCTCTGTGACACAAACACCCATCAACTCTACAATAACCGCGATTGTAAAGCGGCGCAGTCTCAATCGGACCTCTGTGTTGCCAGCCTCAGTTTTCATCTGTGTCAGGGTTAAAGGTCAAGGTAACAGGAAGCAGCTAAGTGGCCAGCGGAGGTGCCGGGCACAGAACGGCGCAGGCAGAATGACTACATGACACATGGCTCTGAGCTGCCCGTGCCTAATGAAACACATCCAACACTGGGAGATTACTGAGCAGTGGGGGTTGTTGGTGTATCCACATATGTACAGAGTGCTATAACTTACCCAGCGAGTGAGCAGCAGTTGTTTTAGAGCTGAAGAATCGCCCCAGTCCCAAGTCTCCTAGCTTAACTACTCCAGTAGCTGTGATGAATACGTTGGCTGGCTTGATGTCTGAAAGTGAAGGAAAAGTGACAGCTTGCAAACGATAATTTCTTCATATTAATTCAGGAAAGTTTTACTTTTAGTCTCTACCAAATAAACATGACTGAACTGGAAGCATAAAGTCCATCATTGAAAATATCATTTGGACATTAACATAGTTTCAAACACCTTGGTAATGTGACCCACGTCGGGCTTTGAAATTTACTACTCCCGTATAACTGTAAGCGGCTTTTGAATAGGCCGTCTCTGCTAAGTGGTCATTAAAGCTCAGAGCTCAGGGTTCATTAGTGTCCCTGAGCCCTAATCAAAGTCAGTCCAAACGGAAGTACATCACCTGTAGCTGTGCGTGTGTGTGTGTGTGTGTGTGTGTGTGTGTGTGTGTGTGTGTAGCCTATGCATGTGAATCCAGGACTCGACTTGACTGGGCCCTATTCAAAGCACGTGTGCCCATAAACACTGTGTTCTCTGGTCTATGTATTGTTTAACACCTACACTTAAGCCCCCGCCTTATGAAACACGCTCATTCACACTAAAGAAAATTCACTTTAAGCACATTGACTTTGAACTAAAAAGCACCTTTACAGAAAAACACTGAACATTTTCCAACATTTTTCAGCATTCTCACTTCAGTTTAGCGAGCTACTAAAAATACTTGAACAGCTCGCGCTGCCAGACGTGGATCCAACTTACTAACAGTTATAGACCATAAACTGTTTTTAAGTGGACGTCTTCACTGAATGTTTCTTTTAGTCTTGGACTAGACTTAGTCCACGTCTGGGAAACCTACTGACAGCCAGTGCACCAAACTACTCATAAGTTCTTTTTCCTTATGTTGTGTAATAATACACTCAGGATTACATCAGATTTTATACGAGCTCTACTGGGTCTCGTAGTTAAATCCAGTCCATTTCTTGTCACTCCCGTGCTGAGAGCAGATCAGTGCACACAAATTTGTAAGTAATCTTAAATATTCAAGGTAGCACAGAATCCCAAAAACTAAAATAAACGACAAATTTAAGGGATTTTCCAAGACTTGTAATGAATGAAAAAGTCCTCTAATTGTTTGTGTTAATAAGAGCGTGTGTTGTGTGCATACCTCTGTGCATGACTCTCCGAGAGTGCATATGTTCAAGCGCACTGCAGAGCTGAACAAAGTACTTCCACACTGTTTTCTCTGGGATAAGCCTTCTCTGCTTCTTAAAGTGCTGTGAAGTAAATACACACACACACACACACACACACACACACACACACACACACACACACACACACACACACACACACACACACAATCAGGACATCAAAGTAAAAATGACATACAAGTGAAGGAAAGAACAAACAAAACATTTTTATTATAAATGGAAAAAGTCCCGTGTGGCACAGAATACAATTTCAAGTGTGTGTCTTTGTACAGTATCGCTCCCGTTCTCTGCGACTCCGCTCCTAATGCGACCCAGACTCTCGTCTAGCTCTGTCCATTTGCTTAACCGAGCTCCGTCTCATTTTCTCTATGGTCTACAATAGAAAGCACATGCATCCTCAGAGACAGGCAGAAGAAATTTGTGGTACCATCTAAAATGCTCCCATCTGGCACGCAGCACTTTTGTTAGGTGCAGCTTTCTGTGGCACGGTGGCTCCAGTAGTTTAAAAGGTTTATTTATTTATTTCCGGAGAGCCGAGTGTTCTCATTCATCAAACTGGTCCCTGTCAAGAAAAGGCCTCGTGATGACAGAGCTTATTGACCTACGATGGCTGAAAATAAGAACCGATGATAGGAGCTCCTCCTCAGACAGCAGTGCAGACTAACCAAATGCATAAAGTATGGCTGACATCAGAGTTTTATGGGGTGGCTCCTATTGCAGGGTGTAAAAAAAAGCCTGGCTTGTATGCACACGAGAATTAAGTATTTAGAACAAATTATTTAGAAAAATTCAAAGTGGAACACTCCAGTAAGTTACCTGCCTGAAACGCTGATGCACTGCTCACACACCACCAAAGGTTAATAACATATGTAATTGAAACAGGAATGTGCATGTATGATGTATATGATGATTGAGTAATACTAGTGGAAACTGACTGTATCGGCCCGTGGCTCTGGCTGTCGCTGCTCTGCTTCAAATCAGACCAAATTTAATGATGCCGGGAGAACAAATAGTAACAAAAGTGGCTACTTTTAAAATTGTTACTATAAACAATGTTACTGTAAACAATTCTAAACTTCAGGGCCAATAGCAACAGCAATGCTTAAAATGATCATCAATAAACATATTTTGTTTCCTTATTTTCTGTTTGTAAACATTTACTCGAACGTTTTCTGTTCACACAGTTACACCTAGCTTAAGGCTGCGCTCTTTATTTAGTAACAAGCTGCAGTTTTAAGGTCGTTCCCGTCTTCATCACATTTCATCTGAAACATTTAGCAAACATAAAGTGGAAATCATGCTACAACTAAAAATAGGCCCCCGACACTGTGACAACAATGTTGTTTGTCGATATGTTAAAATCAGTCAACATGAACAATTTCAGCGAGCCAAACGTCTGATGTTTGATATCGTTGCATTATGCAATCTGTGCATCCCGACCGTTTCTGCGTTTTTGCCACACAGAAGAATGTGATCATCAGTGAAGAAGAAGCAAGTCACAGGATCGGGCTGTTAATTATTGCAGAATATAAAAAGAGATTTTAAAAAAGAGGAAATGAAAGATGTGAGAGTGTAAACAGTCTAACGATGGGAGCCAGTAAAGGAAACGATGCAGGTGAGGGTGAGAGATGCAGAAAATTAAGGTTAGGAAGAAAGGAAGGATAGAGATGGATGGAAGGAGAGAGGGAGGGATAGACCTTGGCCTACATCCAAACAAAGCCTCAGTGAGGAGCCATTCTTCCTTTGCCCTCCCATTTCCATATCAGAGGACCGTTTGATGTCAATGGGGGAGCACATAGACGCCCACCGACACCACCAGCGCGCTCTTCTCCACGCCTTTAACAGCAAACACTGCACATGCAATATTCTGTAAGTGCATGCAAATCAAGGACCATTTGATTTCATTTGAATTCTGAGATGGTCAGAAAGAGAGAGTAATAGAGAAGCGAGGGGGAGAGAGAGCAGCGTGGAGGACGAGAAATCAAACAGAATAAAAAATGTTAAACTCATGCATGGGGGGTGCGTCTGTTTTACATATGGCACACTGTACTTATGTGTTTACTTCACATTATGGCCACGCAGGGGGGGGGCGACTGAGCCCTGGCACGCACCTCTGGACTGCCACTGTTACACTGCAAAAACATATCATTTAGAGCGGTGCAGAAGACAAATGGTGCAGAGAAGAGGCGTGCACACGTGAGCGTGTGTTGTCAGCAGCCATAAGGATGTGACACAGCTCCCAGCGTCCTCGGCAGCTTAGCTAAGATAGAGGTGACGCTCCGCGGTTGGTTGTCTCACCTCTGCAGACTGCCGTGTTACGTCTCTGTAAAGTGCATCTCTGAACATTTGGTGGCATGCTCGTATATTGTTTGCTTACACAGTGCGCCATATGTATCGAGTGTATGTGTACCGGATATATATCTGTGTGTGTGCTGCTGTGCCTGCCATGTTCACTCTCTTGTACCACTAATCTTCGCCTCTCCTAATTTGCTGTGTTGAACTATGCGGATGTGGAGCTGCTGAGCATGACTGCAAACAGCTTGTCGAGCTGTGCTGATACAACGCTGCAGCATCATTTATGCATGGGAGAAGACCAGGCTTTTTACATGCACACCACTAATTTGCTATACTGGCAGGTTTTTATAATAACGGGAGGTTTGGTCGAGCTCAAAGACGAGGGTGAGCCTGGGATATAATCACTGCTACTTCTGAACAATCCTGTTCAGTTCCTGCGCAGAGAAAGCTAACAGGATCAAAGCAACACAGTATGTGCTTAATGCTATTACCAGTGTTGGGACTAACGCGTTATTAAGTAACGCGTTACAGTAACTACGTTATTATTGTGGTAACGAGCACGGTAACTAGTTATTATGCCAAAACCAGGAACGCGTTAGTCGTTACTGGGATTTAGATAGGGTCGTTACTCGTTACTTCGTGTGGTGGCATCGCGGAGCTTCCACAGATTCGGTAACATTAGCAAGTGGTGGAGGCCAGCAGGTGGATGAAGGAAAAGGGACGCAGAAGGAAAAGAGACCCGAGGCGGCCGCCGGTCCAAGTGTGAACTGAACTTCAGGTAAGAAGTTATAAACTGCAGTCTCTCTGGGTCAGATATAAATCAAGTGTAGGTGGAGTTTATTTTCGTTATTCTGACTTTTTCCGTACTGCGTGCTAGCTAGCATGACAGAGTTTCTATACAGCTGGGTGGTGCTATGATGTTACTGATGTTGAACTTTATTTTGTTCATAAGTTATTAGAGTTGCCAACCGTCCCGTCTGGTATTCAGAGAAAATATTACGCGTTTCTTATTGAGGTGAAAAGGAACAGTTTGTCCCGTAATTCAGCTACAATGAAAAAGACACAAAGCTGGAGTTATTCTGTGTTTACGCTGCACAGCTGCCTCTTCTTCTCTCATCCTCTCACCCTCTCTCTCCCGTTTGTACTTCAATCATGAAACTGATCAATGATCAGCTGATCGTCTCTCTTGTTTGTTTATCGCCCACTTTGCGCCAGAAAGAGGAAACCAGCGGATGTCGCGCTAAACAACAGCAGCACGTTTAAGCTCGATCAGCTGTTGTTAGAATTGATTTAATATTAATTTCTAGTATCAGCTGATGTTTGCTGGAGCCACAGCTGTAAAGCTGCTGGTCATGATATGGTTTGGATATGTGGTGAGAGGGAAACATGAAGATGAAACCAGGAGATGTCCTTACTGGATCATCAGAGCTGTGATGGAGAAACAGGTTTACCTTTTAGGTCACATGAATGAGTTGAAGTTATGAACTGTTTCTGAGAGACAAATAACACCAGGATCCTTTTCTAAGTAGCTGACAGCTGGTAACTGTGCAGGGGCGGGTCTAGCAAAGTGTGGCCAGGGGGCCAGGTAGGGCATTAACAGGGAGAGGGGGGCACAAAGAAATACTTTGTTATTCTCATTTAAAATGTCTCATTTTTAAAAAATAATTATCTGAATCTTACAACAAACGATTGATAGATTGATGCATATATACCATCAGAACAGTGCACATCACTGTCACAACAGTGTTTGTTTTCATTCAAAGGCTTTATGAGTTTTCCTATAATGGCGGCCGGTCAGTCAAAATGCCCGGGCCAATTTTTTGTCCCAGTCCAGCCCTGTATGCAGCTCATCTGCAGTCTGGTGTTACCTACATCTTCCTATTCAGAAGGCAGAATTTCTGAGTTCTGAGTACAATCGAAGCACCACGACTGCAGTTTTTGTGTTGCATGTAAAAGGCGCACATGACGCTGTGACGTAGGCTAGAATCATGGCAGCAGTCAATGACGGTCCAGGCGTGGGATTTCTCTCGTGGAAATATGCACATTATCTTTTCCTTTCTATTGGTCGGTGGCACAGTGCACCGTGGCAAGTAAGCAAGCTAGAAGGCTGGCAAAGTTATGGAAGCAACACATTAACAAGAGAATTCTGAGTAAAACCAAAGTTACTTTCCCTAGTAACTAGTTACTTTGAAAGTAACGAGTAACTTGAAGCAACTGAGTTACTTTTGATGGAAGTAACTAGTAATGTAACTAAGTTACTATTTTAAAGTAACTTACCCAACACTGGCTATTACACATTTGATCTGAATTTCACTCTGCATTTAGCTTATTGGTCAGCGCTTGTGAAGAGTACAGTCGTTCAGGTACTGATGCAAAAATGCATAAAACCTCAAATAAACTGAATTGAACTGCAAATGAAAAAGATAAATAAATAAATCAGACATTTGTTCTCGGACGTGTAAACACTTAACAAAGTGAGTGTTTCCATAGTGTACTGGTTTGTACACCAAAACCCTGGTTTGAGCCCAGATGGAGACAAATCCATCCGGTATTTGTCTCCATCCAGGAGGACTGACAGGAGGGGTCACATGGCATAAAAATCGTAGTGGTGTAGTAAACAACAACAACAACAAAAACATTTGTGTATAGAATACTTTTTATCATTACATTTACATTAAAACCAATGATTCATTCCATGTGTGGCAACTACGACACTAGTTTGTGAAGTCCCTGTTTTGAGGCCTCAGTGTTCGATTGTTGGTGCTGCTGTGTTGACTTTTTAGACATGGAACAAAGAGCCTGGTGATTAACCGAGGCTCCAAACGTGGCGAGGAAGATGCATCCACAGACTGTTTTTTTTCCTTGTATGAGGCTATAAAAATGTGTTTCTGCCATATTTCTGTGTTGTAACCAGCAACCTGCTTCAGGAGCCTCCTGTGGTCAGTCGAGGAACAGTTCACCGTGAACTTTTTGCCTTTTTCTGGCTTCACCTCGTTTCTTGTTTTTTTGACGCTCTTTCTCTCGACTGCAAGTTAAACCACTTCGTACGTTACAGGCTGACAGGTTAGTCAACCACAACACACTGTTCAATGTCCTGCTATGTCAACTTAAAGTCACTGTGAACGCTGCTTGGCGTTAGCTTCCTTCCAGAGTCTGTTGGCTTGAACGTGAGATGCAGAGACAATGAAGGTGACCTTCAGCCAGTGTTTCAGAAAACACAGGTTTCTCCACAATTTTGAACCCTAATTTGAACTTTTTCATGAATTGAAATTCAACTTGAATTGACTTGGAAATTTGATAATGAATTTTTCTTTGGTTTCCTGAACTCAGAACTAAAACCTCTTGACCCTGTACGCAGATTTTAATGTTAATGACATTAAAACTCATTAAAACATAACTAAAACACAACTTCTTCTAAACGTCTGATGCAGTATCCTGTTACAAACCGCACTCACTTGGCCTTTATGACCAATAATCATCGCTTGTTTTTTTAACCATGTCTATTTCACAGCTGTGGCAAACACCAACATGTGGTGCTGAGATAAAAGGAGGCTGTGGGAGGCCCGGTGCTAGCTAGTGTTTAGTTTCAGAAAGGAATGGATGATTCACATTGACTCAATGTCCAGCAAGTCCAAATCCTGTAACGACAGGAGACCACAGACTTCCTGGCTTCATTCCTTCTGTCAAATAAAACGTTTGCTAATCTTGTAATTATAACGCATAGTCAGCACTTATTTGCCTCTTTGCCGGTAATTCCTTCTGACACCAAACGATGCCATGTTTGACCGGCTATTATTGTGACCAGGTATTATTCATCCTGACCAGACTTCACACTGTGCGATCAGTTGTGTATCTCTGAAGTCATTCTCTGCACTGTAGCCTAACCCAGAGTACGAACACAACACTGAGAACATGTCTGCAGTGGATCTGCTCCTGCTGTGTGCATCTGTAGTCCACCTCAACACATCTACAGTCTAAAGGAGGCTGTAAAACTCGGTTAGGGGTTAGGGTTAGGGTTAACCCTAACCCTTCTCAAAAATGTTTTAGTACGACTTTGCTAAGCTACGAAGCCGCAGCGCCTGATGGATTGTAGGAGCATTATGGCTACCGTAGTCAGGAGCCTCGCGGAGTCATCTGGGTCCTAAACTCCGTCTGGTTCAGGTCCCAAAGTCAAACGAACACTGCAGCATCACTGAGAGTTAAAAACTGTCTAAATTCTTTCATCTTTAATAAAATGATCAGCGTTGCTGCTTTACCAGGTGTATTAAGTTTAACATCCAGGCATCCATGAAAACAGAATTTATTAAATTTAACAGAGTTAGAAGTTAGCAGGAAGTTAGCTCGCTAGCTTCCACCTAAACATGATATAGCATGTTCTGACTGAGAGATTTCTGAAAAATTCAAACATACAGCTCTGCTGTCACTTCCAACATAAATGAAGACAGGAAACTAAACAGCAGTGACGTTTGTAGGGTTACTGAAGTTAGGCTAGCTGCTATATAATGATGTGCTATGGCTAGCGACGCAGCTATGTTAGCATAGCATAAACACAGTGAAGCTGGAGGATGAACGCTAACGCTTGTTTCGCTTAATGTGCTTTATAATCTGGTGTGCCTTATGGGCCGAAAAATACAGTATTTTTTAATTTTATAAGAACACAAATAGTTATTGGAAGATATAACTAAACACTAATCAGTGTATATTTAAAAGTACAATATCCTATTACTGTACCTTTAAGGTGAAACCGCTCCTAATTATAAAAACCGCTGTGAAGAGTCGATGCTGTATTTGTGACTCGGGTCGAGTAAAGTCGTTTAAAACCAAAAAACTACAAACAATCAGCGCTGGCACCATCACTCCCTCCTGAGAAAATAAAACTACAGGATTTTTGCTGCATCTGAAGAACCACACTGCCTGTGTCCTTAACAGCTCCTGGGCTGAATGTTCAATATATTTCGCAAATCAGCTGTTCTTCCTGCTGTCTTAGACGTGCAGCTGCTGTAAAGACTTTCTTACCTTGATCATACGAGAGAGGTCTCCAGCATCTGCTAGCTCCAGTACTATGTTCAGCTCATTGTCCTCAATAAAAGACGCGTGGTATTTTATCACATTGGGATGGTTCAATTGCTGACAGGGGGAAAAGAAAAAGACAGACGTGTCATTCAGGAAGCATAAAAAGCAAAAATAAGACTTGCTGGTGACACTTGTCACATTAAGAACCGACATGGTCACATTCCTCAGGCGTCTTGCAAACTTATTGCACCATTTATATAAAATGAGCCTGACCGTAACAAACACAGGTTTGTGTCATGAACTTTGACCACCAATTAAAACAAGACTGTTTAAACCGTACATGGGATTCATACATGTGGACCTAATGAGAAGCTTTAGTCCCCAAGTGTGACAAAGCTGGCTGACATGTCACAACAGCCTCCTGTCTCTGATGACAACAACTCATGTGTGAGACACACACACACACACACACACACACACGCACACACACACACACACACACACACACACACACACACACACACACACACACACACACACACACACACACACACACACACGCGCACGCCTGACAGGCTGACACGGCTGGCAGTCAGAAAAACAAGCATCCCAGCCTCTGCTGCAGCTGAGATTCCTTCCTGTTGGTTGGTCAATAAGGCAGGAACAGCATTCCTTGTAGTAAACAAAAAGTTTCAATCCATCCAGAGCAAGAAGAGGGAAAGGGGGGAGGGGGGAGGAGCAGTGAAGAGGAACGAGCAAATGACACAGTGACACAGACAAGCAAGGCGGATGATGGAGACAGGGCAAGGTGAAGAGCTAGGGAATGAGAACAAAGGTGAGGAAGGAAGAAAGAACAGGAGAGCGGTACGGTGAGCCGAGTTGGAGCAGAGGGGGAGGGAAAGGGAAGCGGCGGTGCTGTGCAAAGAGTCGCGGCGGTGATGCGAGCAGACGGAGTGGTGTGACACGCGTCCTCCGCTCTGCTTTCTGTGCTGTGATTAAAGAAATGTTCATGCTCTGGATGATGCTGAGAGGAGCACAGTACAGTACAGTACGCTATACTCTCCACTCCATCTCTGCATCCTTCCACATTCCCCTCTCTCATTTGTTCTCCCGTTCCCTTCCTCATGTCTCCATCTTTCCTTCTCCCTCCCTCGTCCTCTCTCGCCAGATGTATTTTTGGCTCGGAGTGGCAGTTCTGCACGGCTCCATGCTGTAGCACAGCCGAGGAGCGATGACAAGTTCTCCCTCCCCTCCTCGCCCCGCTCATCTCCCACAACTTCAACCCCAGGCGAAGGATACAGATATGTTCGCATGCAGATGTTTATGTAAATGATGGATGGGACCTTACTGCAATACAACAGCCATTCGTTGGGAAATATCGCATAGAGTCTCGCATGATTATGTAATTACACATGCTGGCTGAGACCCACCGGTGTGTGTAATTACTTAATCATGCACGACTCGATGTGAGATATTTGTTGAGCTGGTGATGTGCTCCAAAGAAGAACGAGACACTGACTAATGTAACGTGATGGCACAAAATTAAGCATGCTAGCAAATTAAGTAACAGCGTAATTATAAATGAAATTAGATGCCAACAGGAAAGCAGCTGGTAGGAATGGAAACGGTTCGTTTAGATGTGAATCGGCGTTTACTCGGCCTCTCCGGCAGAGAGGAATCGTTTGCGTTCCACTAACGTGTTTTCCACTTCACCGAATGTAAAAATCATCCACTTTAACTTGTTAGAAGAAGGATGGATTAAACGCACATAATGAAACACATTTAAAGTACATATTAATGTTTAAAGAATATATTATTGCTCGTACAGAGAACAAGATAAAACTGATTTTAAAGCTGTAGCTCGTTTTATTAACAAAACATGGACCCGGGCATATTGTTCAAATATGGCACCGTATAGCACAAGAGCTTCCGCTGCCTTTGCCTTATTGGATCACGACACGGTAGAGAATTAAACGTGAGGTTTGATAACATGTTCTCCACTGAACTGTCCACCAACAGTACAATCTGATAGATATCAAACAAAACACAGGAAAAAACCTGACGTCATAACAGCCTTTCACTGCTCATTAGGGAAGATAATTAATCAGAATACGACCCAAGACAGTAACCGTAAGTAAGAGGAATACGCCGTTCTTAGATTTCAAGAATGGTGAAATCATCAGAGCGGCAGAGCGCTGGCTCTTCCTACAACCAACATTCCCATCAGGAAAAATTTAGACAAAAGGACAGAAGGAGAAGTGAGATTCTCGAGTTGAAGTCATCATGCCACAGCAAGAAATAACAGATGAATGAGCAGACACAAACACAGACAGACAGACAAACAAACAAACAGACATACTGTTGAAAGGTCTCAACAGAGTGTGTGTGTGTGTGTGTGTGTGTGTGTGTGTGTGTGTGTGTGTGTGTGTGTGTGTGTGTGTGTGAGATCATGGGCGACTGTGCGTCACTCCAGTCGAACCATGCCAGTGTGCCTCTCATTATTCTGATTTGGCTCTGTCTCCTGTTGGCCTGTCTAGTGGAGGATAAGGGAGAAGGACTCTCTCTCTCCCTCAGTCCTTTATTATCAGGCTGGCTGGGCAGCCGGGGCCAGGCACAGCTCCATGTTTACCAAGAATCAGCTCGTAGGATAAAAAGAAGGAAAGAAAATGGATGAAGGAAACAAGGCAGTGAAGGAGAAAATGGAAAATCAAAAAAAGCAAAAGCAGCCGAGACAGGAGAAATAAATTCTATAGATTCAAAGACGATTAAAGGGAAGAAATGCAGAAATGTAGGCGTTGCATACAGGAAATGAGAGACACGGTCACTGGGGTCAGTGTAACATTTGACTCTGTCCTAACCCCCTTTAGGAGGTCAGAACTACAAACAGGAAAACCCTGCTGTCTTCTGCCATCGACTCAACAGTCTGCTACTCAGATTACAGCCTGGTCTCGCCTGCATCAGAGTATAGTTGTCTTTGATTGGCCCAAAAAGCCCCGGGAGCTCCAATGAAGTCTGAGTGGCACAAACTAATTGGTTGTGTTTTGTGTTTCTGTTTAATGTGTACGTCTGAGCGTACATATGAGCCCAAACTGCCTGCAGTGCACACGCGTCCGTGAAGGAAAGCTACAGATAGGGCTGCCAGAACTGCACACACACACACACACACACACACACACACACACACACACACACACACACACACACACACACACACACACACACACACATACACACACACACACACACACACACACGCACGCACACACACACACACACACACACACACACACGCAGTCAGATAACACAGGCAGGGCTCTGACACACATCTAGGATCTCTCAGACAGGAAAGACATCGGAGCTGTCGTTAGTTTGTTCATTAGTGCTTAAGAGCAGCCTGGCTGACACATGTTAAAGGTGGTTTAATAAGCACAAAAACTTCATTGCACAAGGAAAAAACAGTAAAGCTAAATTAAGCAAAGTGAGGAGACACATGAGAGACGCTGCTACATCTCCATGCTGATGCACTGTTGGCTGGTTTTAAACATTACAAAAAGATTGTTAAAAAACAACAACACAAAAAAACACAATAGTTTTGGCATTAAAAAGGAGCCGATGTGTGCCTGGGGGGATTTAACACTGCTGTACCTCTGCACACACACACACTCAAGGAGAAAGCAATACACACACACTTATTCACATTCTCACTCGTGTGCACAAATGCTCCAACACCCCACTGTATTTGTAACAATCCGAGGAAACGCACGCACACACAGCACGCAGATCCACGCCGTCTGGTGCAGATCAATTGTTTTCATGTGGTAGAAGGTCTCAGCTGAGGCACCTTAAGAGAACAGAGCGCAGCGCATGGCACCGTCTCCCTCTTCTCTGGTTCTTTACCTTAAGGAGATCTATCTCTTTGATGCAATCTTGCCGAGCTTTGGCATCCATCAAGTCGAATATCTATCAAGAGATCAAAAGGGGAGAGAGAGAGAGGGTGAGAGAGGACAGAGAGGAGGTGTTATGACATATTCAAAAAATGTAAGATGGAGAGATGTAGAAAACTAAGGGTGGAAAAAAACACTAAACAGAGAACACGGTTACTGTTATCTAGAGGGTGGCGCTGGAGTGTCTACAGGTGTTTCATATCTGAGTAACAAGCCCGTATATCTGAGGTGTGTGTGTGTGTGTGTACATAACGTGTCCTCTTATCAATGTGTGCGAGTGTAGAAGGCAGTGAATACCACAGATACTGCCAGTGCAGATACACACAAGTGCAGAGTCACACTGTGAGTCAAACTGCACTTCACAGGCAAATACCTCACAAATGTGACTTTGTTGAATATGCTGACCGCTCTGGCGGCACTAACACATTCACAATTACATTCTCTTAAATTTCTCTACATAGTGACAAGTCGAACTCAGCGAGTGTGACCCAGCTGTGTTTGTCCAGAAACAGCAGCAGTATTTATATGTGAGCTTCTACTACTGTAAATGCTCCGTGTATGGCTCAGGTGAACTTCAAGGACCGAAACACCCGCTGGTGTGAATATATTAGCATTGACCTCGTGACAGATTTAACTCGGGCTAAATGTGTCGCTGCTTTTACGCTCCTCACCTGAATTTTCTTCAGGGCCATAGACGTGTTGTCCAGCAGATACCTCGCTCGGTACACCTCGCTGAACTGGCCGCGTCCAATCTTCTTCTCAATCTGGAAGTTAGCCAGTGAATTATGGCCCATATCTGGCTGCAACGGTTTCTGCAGGAAACAGGAAAAATACAACTAGTAACTATTCACGCATGATATCAGTCCATGAACACGTGCACACACACTCTCTCTTTCTCTGTGTAAGAGAAAAACAAATAAAAAAACTAAGTATTTGCAGGATTTTTGCTGTTGCCACTAGTTTGTCACTGAGGTGAAACCATCTGTGCATTACTGAAAGATAAAAAAGACGAGGGCTGGAGGATGTGGGTTAGACGCTGCCAAAGATGCTCATAAAGGTCTTCAAGGATGATTGTAGCTGCTAAACTGGTGGACCTAAATCTTCACCACCACGTCTGTATACATACAAGCAGAAAGGGGAGTGAGTGGGTCAGCGCTCAGGGCACAGAAACTTAGCTGGCTTCAAACACCATTTATTTTCATAAGAAAACACAGTCAGAACCCCAAATACAAGCTAAAATCCCCGCTATACAATAAAAATAGTGTTTGCAACCTGCTAAAAACCCTGCCGGCAGGAATGATTATATTTCCACTGTGTGACACGATCATTCAACTTTTTGAAGGTAGCAAAACGGTATCATGTCATGTAGGGCTGCCACAAACGATTATTTTGATAGTCGACTAGTCACCGATTATTTTTGCGATTAGTGGACTAATCAGATCATCATCCATTGGACGTAAAACTACAGCTTATTGCACCAGCAGCATCTGCTCTTATATAACTATCATTAGCTTACAGCTTTAAGTGTTTAAGGTCTGTGCTAACTAAAGATAAAGACAAGATGGCAGTTTATTAAATTTTAATGAAATTTGCAGATTGTCTCGGTGAAGTTTAATAAACTCCTTGCTATCTAAACTATAACAGGACACCGGAGTAAATTCTGGAGCATCTCACACTTCTGATAATCAGCTGTCTGCTTGATGTTTATTCAGCTGTGTAAAAACTATAACTTTAATCTCAGCCAAACCGATTTACTCAGGAACAAATAAAATACTGAAAAAAGCCAAACAATAACATTTTAAAGTTATCTAAGTGACTCATATATCATGTTTAACCTGAGTAGCGAAAGACTGCGGTGGGTTTGAAAACATTTGCGGGGAGTCCGGTGTTCTCACGGCTCTAGTGAGCCTAGCCCCCGGCTAGCTATCGAGCTAGTGGGTAACAGACGTCTCCGAAAACGTCGGAGCGCTTTTGAAAATATGCGGTGTCTTGATAAACTGAGCAGATATTTGAGGTTTGCACAGCTACATTCTCGCCTGAAAATATGTTAAACGTTTATTTTGTGACTCAGAAAGAATAATAAGAGTAATATTAAAACTAACTAGCTGCCTCCATTGTTGGAAACTGAGCTGGGCTGCGCTATGAATTCTGGGACACAGCTTCTTCTTCTTCGGGGTTTAACGGCAGCTGGCATCCTTGTACATGCAGTGCTGCCATCTTCTGTTTCAGTCCGTTATTACACTCTTAAATCCTGCTACTTATTCCTGCGTCTTTTGTGATCTTACAAAGCTTCAAACGACGCGTCGACTATTAAATCAGTCGTCGACGATTTTGATAGTCGACGTAATCGTGGCAGCCCTAATGTCGTGTATGCCAAATGTAATGCTTTATTACTACAGTAACATGATATTGTATTAGACCGTGCACTTACACCTTGCAACATCCAGGGAGGCTAACACGCTGTTCTGTAGCAAAAACAGAGCAGAGCAAAGGTGAGTTGACTATTTTCCAATGAGGACGGGAAAATAGTCACGTAAATATAGGCTTCATATTATTTAATCCAAGTGTTTTTTCTGTTTGTGTGTTTGATCAAACAGCACCCGTGAAATCCTCTCCCTTCATCTGTCGAGTCCCATCACTGACAGTCTGGCACTGGGCCACAGAACAAAGTACTCCACACCTCTCCTCACTGCGTGAGTGATTGTACCTACTGAGTCACTCACCTCCGCAATTAAAAACACTCAAAAATAAACCAGAATGAGCCCCTTGGATATAATGTGTGAATAATACACATAGCGTGCTGTGTGACCTTTCCAGCCTTTTGGTAAACTTGTAAAAGGCGTCAGCAGGAACAAACACAAGGTGACAGATATCAGAATGCTGCATGTCACCAGCGCTGCTGTGGGAGCAGCTCAGGGGGCGAGTGACCTAGGACCGAGGGGAGGGAAATAAAAAGGTGGAGAGGGTCAAAAATGAATCTGCTGGGTGCTAAAACACACAGGAAGGGTGTGTCATTACAGCTGTTCGCTCTACACAAAGTTACAGTGGGCACCCACTGAAAAACATACACGATGCAGCTGACCTGAGAGAGGCACGAGGTATCGTTAAAGTAAAAAACACTTAAAGCCAACGAATATATCAGAAAGAAATGACCTGAAATAATTTATTCAAAGGCCAAAAATCATTTCTGCAAAAAAACAAGGAAAATAAGAATAAAAAGGCATGAAATTCAGACAATGATGAGAAGCACAATATCAAACTGGATTGTTAACACTAGAATGGATGATTTATTTTTTTTTGGGGGGGGGGGGGGGGGGGGGGGGGGCACCGATTCATGCGTTTCAATGTTTTTCCGCAGCTGACAGCCAAAGGAAGAGGCGCGAGCCAATCAAATGCCCTGCCCAATTAACACCGCTGAGGTGTGTGCATTTTTCAGCATGACACCGCCGTCATCCCGAGCTGTCAGGACTCACAGATGATGCACTCTTCCACAATCCACAACAAACCCTTCAACACAACCGTACGTCTAAAGGGGGGACTACGAGGATTCACTACGACAACACGGAAAACACTGACATCTGACTGAAAGATCTATATCCATACATTTTATGGAGAGTTAGTTAAATTAAACCTATACATACTCATTATTATCTCCAAGGTGTGTTGCGCTGAATATGCAACCATATTGGGAGATGATTTTGCATAATGTGACAGAAGCACTGATGCAAAGTTGCAGTGGGATGGACAGAGAGGGAGAGAGAGCAAAGGATGGAGCTGGGAGGACAAGAGGGCATTGCTTTCATTCGCTGCGTGGTAGCTTGACAAATGTTAGCATGAGCCTCTAAAGCGCTGTGACAACCGCCTGCTGAGAGCACAGTCTTGCTAATGTGTCCTGGCATGCCAGCCTCGTAATCACACATTTACATATGCAATGACCTACATTTGCATGTCAGATCGCACACTGTCCAGCGTGATTAACAGTGGGCACCTCCCCGTGTGGAGTCGCCCTGGGTGGCAGCAGAGGCCATGCGAGGGCGGAAGAGAGGGCTGGAGGGAGGGCGGCTTTTCTGGCAGCCAAGGGGCCGGGCTGCCAGGCAGGATTATGTCAGCCAGTGCCCCCAACATTAGACACTTCATTAGAGCTAATCTGTTTAGCAGTGGGCAGTGTATGTAAACTTCACAGGCCATTTGCGGCACCTCTTCGCCCCCTGGCCTGGCCTTCAAAGGGCAGCCGGGCCACAGCTGACTGACAGGCCGTCTCATCTGCCGCACATGGGTGTCACACAATCAGGAGCTCCCAGCTGAAAGACAAGGCCACACACACCTACAAAGGAAGTCACAGAGGAATGTCCCTGAGTGACGCAGAGGTCACGGTCTGGCCAAAAACGGGAGAGGAGGATTTTGGACGGATCTAAATATGACTGTTCATGTGACGGACAAATATCATGACCTCAAACACAAACGTGGTTGTTAATCAGGGCTCGCATTTATATTTATGCGTTTGTGTGCAACATCTGCCAGAGAATGCCGAGACCGGTCGACTGAACCGAGCCCCGACCGCGCCCGAGCACTGTCCATTTTTGTTTTTCTAATGCAAATGGTGCAACTGCTAAGTTAATATAAGTACCACATTAAAAAAAAACCTGTCCCCATTATTCTTTTTACACATATTAGTTCACGTTGAAAGGAAATCATTTTAAAAAGCAATGACGATCAGGTTACGTGTTTATGAAATTTCACCCGTTTACCTGAAACGTCGAGGCGGGTTTACACTGGAAGTGGGAAATGAATTTATCTCCATCCCTCTCTTACTGTTAACACTCAATCTAAAAAACTGACCAATATTATGTCAATGAAACATTGGTATGTGACCGGAGCTGCAATAATACTGTAAAGTTGTACAAATAAAAACCTCACTACACAACGTGGCAGCAACGGCTCAGGCCCAGGCATGTCTGAGAGCAAAAGCCTCCGGTGACAATTTAGTGCTTAGAAAGAAAGCTCCTTCAACTGCCTCCTGAAAAGCAGAGCACTTTGCAAAATATGCAAGAAAATTGTTCTTGCTCAACATGGAAACGACAAACTTGTTTAGCCGCTTTGGGCTAACACACCATCGAGTAAACTAAAATGATAAAGTGTTGAAAAGTTACATTTCTATGTCAAATTTCCAGGTAAAACTACTTTTCTGTTTACACTTGACTTATTGTGTGCCGCTGGATATAATGCTGTCTTAGGACTACTGTACTGTAATTTCCATGCAGGCACTCTTTGAATTAGGAAGTGTGTCATGGATTTACATGCACTTATAAATGCTGCTTGCAAGCTGCAAGCATTAATAAAATTTTCAGCATTTTCCTTCCATGTGGTCAAAAATACGATTATTACAATTTAATGTTGAACCCATATGACCCACCTCTGACAGTCGACCTGAAAATGCGTTGATGGTAATGCAACCACTTTATCCTGCTGTTGTTTTTACACACATGGTACATCCTGAATTTAAATGTTTGTATCGCAATCACAATCCAAATTGTGCTTTTCCAGCATGGACCCACATGAAGAGCAAAAAAAGAAATAAAACACTGAAATATCATTATCCCAAAATGTTTTTGCATGTGGAGGCCGTGTCGTCTTACCCATACCCAGAACTATATCAATAATAGTTCACGTATCAATAATCCAACACATACTGTTACCATCTCATTCAAAATATATACTTACAGGTTTCTCTCCTATATATGTTTTGTATCATGAAGTGTAGCAGTCACACTGACAGCCTGGCTATCTGTTGAAGTTGTGATTCAGTAGCTTC